ATGTTGCCAGAAGATCAATATTTTGGTCATGATTTGCAGCAATATTGCCGCAACCCCTTTCTGGCAATATTGCCGCAAAACTAATTTACATACGAAAAACGATATAGCCGCAATATTGCGGCAATGTATTGCCAGAATGTTGCTGCAATATTGCTGCAATAAAGCCAGAAGATGTTGCCAGAAGGTCAATATTTTGGTAAGGGTTCCTATTTCATAAAAAAAGAAGTACTGCAACAAACTATAGAATGACTAAAGAATAAATGAATTAAGTCTGCATGGGCATGAAACATGAAGGAAGGCATGCATTTTTTATACTGTAGATCACTAAATTTTCGCGACACCTTATTTTCACGAGATAGTCATTGACTCTTGATTAGCGAGACAAAATTTTCACGAATTGTGGTTATTGCTCTATATAATCTTAAGGGATACTATTATACGCAAGAATTAAATTTTTGCGAGCGCACTGTCTCGCGTAATTACGCGAAAATAAAGTTCTCGCGAATAAAAAGTGATTTGCAGTAATTTTTAATTTATGGTATTCATTGCCAAAAGTTTGCAATCTTGGTATGTCCTAAATAGTAACTAACATGACCTGATGCACAGATAATTGAATTTTGAAGATGGTTGCAAGATAATTGTTCTCAGGCCCCATTCCTCATCCCCGTGGTAAAGGGGTGGGGGGTCTGGAACTGTGAGCATTGATAGTAGACCAAATACAGCTTTGACCACTATATTGCGAAGTGTGAGTTGGAGGAGCATGCCATAAATACATGTATATGTTTTATATAGATACAAACATGATCACTGATGATTTATTTAGTCTTTTTAGCCATGAAGTCAGTCATGTATAATCAAGTTAGAACTATATCAGTTCTGGTATATTTTTTTCCCATGTTCAAAGTATGAAATGTGTTAAAAATTTTAAAAATCTGAATTTAGCTGATTTTATTAGTTAGAATGAAAATTGAGAAATTAATTGGCAAGAGTCCTAAATGTTTATATACTTTCTTGATTAAGATTGGGTAAAAATGCCCATTTTTGTTTTCCTTAACATATTTAGTGCTTGTCTTATCATGCAGACATATATAGACAATTTGTTAGAGAGGGAATATACTGGCACAAGATGTCAGAGAAGGTAAACCTTCCAGGTAACAGGTGTACAGATGAAAAGATAACTACCCCCGTTATATATAGACATTCAGGATAAAGTGCATAAAACTGATTACAAAATAATGCTGGTCTGTGTGTTACGAAAGGGCAAAAAATGTCTTCTTCCTTTCAATTGAACCTTGTTCCTTTTATAATAGCATGAATAGCTTAATGAGTCAATATTGACGTGACCATCGTTAATATAAAATTTGTTCAAAATTTTTCAATAGATTTTAATTATTAAGGAAATCTTATACCCATGTTAATGGACGTGTAAAAATTATATGTTACTTATAATTAAGAGTTGAAGATGGATGTGTCGTCTCTGAAAATCATCAACCATTTGTTTCACCTTGAGGATGCTTGGACCTGATTGGTATAATGTTTCACAATTTGTCCTCAACAACATACTATTAATTTATTTTCATAATCATTTAAAGACATTTTTTGGCATTTATTAAGTGGAATATTATTAATTAATAGCATTTAAGTGACTGAAACAATTTTATATCAGAACTGACAAGTAACACACATCGTCGGTTACCCACGGCCGGGTGATCTCTTCTTTTGATGAGTGAAAGACGAGCATAGGGGATACTCACTCCTCTATGGTACCTGATCCCACTTCTGATGTTTTGGATCAGTGTTTGCTCTGCTTCCGATTTTATTATTTCAGTTAACTTTTGAGCTTGATATAATTTGTAATCTCTCCATAGTTCATTATATGAAATATTGATTTTGAAAAATATTATTATAAGTGTTCTTTTACCATGTTAACGCAAAGGACCTTAATTTAAATAATATAGAAAGACTTTGTTTAAGTTAACAGAGAATCATGCAATCCCTTACAGAAATTTCTGATAAGTGACTTATAAGTGATTTATTCTTTTGCTTATAAGTTGTTTATTCTGGACTTACACTTCACTGATACATTTAACTAATAAGTGAATTATAAGTTACTCATTAGGATTTTATATGCAAATGAGCTACTTAACCTATAAGTGACTTATAAGCAAGTATTAGCCACTTATGCTTTATGCAGTAAAGTCACTTATAAGTGACTATAAGTGACTTATAAGTCAAGCATTAACCCTTCATACTTTATCAAGTATTAGTCACTCATAAGTGACTATAAGTGACTTATAAGTGAAATACAACACTACCTGTAAGATCTTAATTTGGAACAGAACTTCCAACCATGCAGAGGTTGCATGATATGTTCAAAGCTATTTTTTACATTTACAAATGTATCTGCACTTTAGATGAAATAATCAAGTAAAAATTTTATGGAAAAAAATCACTTTCATATGACATTTCTTTGATGATGCAAACTTAACATATTAATTCAGTTTACAAACAAGAATGTTGAACAAAAAGGCAACAAGATTTAATGACCTTGAGGCTTCTTCAAATTTATGAAATCTGAAAGCAACTGAGTCAATTGATTCAAAATTTCATGCAAAGGAAGTTAAAATAGAGAGATGATGTAAATAGAACCTACTTGTTGTACCTGATGTAAAGGTATACTCAAAATAAATCTAAAATCTCCAACATCCTTTCACAGACACAAACTTGGTTTCAAACTCTTGTTGCTGATCTCTGCAGAGACAAACTCTCTGATTGGCTACCTTGAATACCCATAGTGCTCCTTGAGAGAAGTCTAGTATAGGGTAAAAAGTCTAAGTCCACACTTATACTTCACTCATACCATACTGATCTTCACTTATAAGTGAGGTATAAGTGAAATATTCACTGATATGAAGCTCATCTTTACTTATAAGTGAAGTATTAACGAAATCCATTCCTCACTTATACTTACTTTAACTTATAGTACACTTATAAGTAAATTTCAAAATTTATATGTGACTTATAAGTTACTAATAGGTGGATTATAAAACACTTATAAGTTTCTATTAGTTTTTTCTGTAAGGGATGATCTAATTCAAAGGAATTTACTCCACTCTAGCTTTTCAATTCTTATATGTAACTACATTTGTTCTTGTTGAATTTTGTTTAGCAATACAAGTCATGTATTAGGTCTATCTTAATAAAAAGTAAATATTGCCAGTGCACTGTGCCTGAAAGTGTAACCTGAAATAAACTTTAATACACTGCACCATGCTAAATGTATCACATTTTCCTTTGATTAGTAGTACAGGCTAACACTTTATGATAATGTCACAGTATTTTTGTTTAATTTTAAGGTTCTAATTAATGTATTTAAATTCAAAATTATGATGGCTCAATCTAATTAAAATAAGATATGTTTCATCCGCTCCAGTATGATCGCTATACACATTGAAGTGATCAAACTGGAGTGGATCAAAGGTTTTAATTAATAGATTGATGATGGCTGGTATTAATTTTGTGAATATGCAGTATACAATAAAATGAAATTCAATCTTTAACCATGAAGTTAATAACCTGAGACAAAGTGAACCAGGAAGCTAGAACACATTAGTCAACATTACAGTACATTGACAGTTACTGTAGATATATACTTCCCAGGCAGACAGGGAAAAACTTAAATAGAGAAAACAAAATTTGTTTAAGCATTGTTTACCTATAGTTTACTGACTGTTTACATGGATGACACTGTTATATTACTATTGGGTTATAGTTATTAATATGTAGACCAGGGTCAGAATAATATAATTGTTCAGTTTTAAGCTTACTCAGAGTCATGATCCTTTTTATTAATATTAAAGGGAGAAACCCCTAAGCTGTCCATGCAATTTTGATATCAAATTACAAAACAATTTGATCCTCACAGTCACAATTTAACGAAAAAAAAAATATTTGAAAGCTTTAGCAAGATAATAACTTTTAGAAAATGCTACATGTTCATGATCAGATACGGTGCAAAGAACGACCCTTTACTCATATATACCCACCTTTTTAGGGATTTACCACTGCATGGTAATAAATTTGATTCAGTTATGCTCCGGTATCTTTTTGGTCAAAGTCTGATATATAAGAAACTTGAAACTTGATGAAACATTGCATTTACTTCAATTTTATGGGTCACAGTTAGTTATCACCAGCCTAAATTATAAATAAACAATCTGTTTAATAATATGTTTCGCTCAAGTACTTTTCCCTCCCACATATTTTGCTTATGTGCTTAAAATTTTAGTAGCTCCTTGAGCAAACTGTAACAAATTCTGAGAGGTTTTTTTATTTTGACGCACATGCAAAATTTATCGAAAAAAAACTACACTGCTTGAATAAACTTATAATCTTAGTTGTCTGTCACGTGAAAAAATAAACAGTAATAACAAATTTTAAAAACTTTTCCATATAATTTTTTTTAAAGTTGGTACTGCAGGCCATGATTGTATTTATTAATAAGCCAGTTTCACTATAATAATAGTCATTATAAGCAGAAGGAAATTTTACAATTTATCTAATCATTTTTAACACTTAAAACTTGTACAGAATTGTGGTTTTAAATTCCTCTTAAAGGAAAGAAAATGGTGTGTACAAATTCCTCAGATTCCGATACACTGTCTTAAAATTTTCATCATAGGAACGTCAGCTGTTCAATACTTACATATATGTACATTAATTGACATGTCATTGCTAAAATCAAAGACCTATAGGAATATTTATTTATTTCTACTAAAATAATGATTAAACACTAAGTCTTACTGTTTGCCGTAATGATTATAATAAACTGCTGCAGTCATGAATTTGTTGATTTCTCTATTACCAGCTTGTATCAATAGAAGTTATATACTGTACTTGTTATTTTGAAAGGCAATTTTAAAATTATAAGAACACAAATTTTAAATACATTAATGCAATTAAAACAAAAATTATGTGAATTTATGTTATGTATTTTGTAGAGTAAGAAAAATAAGTATCTGATCGTCTGCCTTGGTGACGAGAAAGATGCCAGTTACATCGAGGCTTTTGAAAATCGCAGCCATTATGAGAACCCCAGCCCTAAACACAAACCTAAACGCTACTCCCTGGAAAATCTCAAGGAAGAAGACCTTGACAAAGTGGAGAGAAATCAGGCCAAAGAATTCCACATCGATATTCCGTTTAAGAAAGAGAAATTGTGTCTGATGTTTGATAATCGCGATATCCTCTCCCAGTGGCACGACGCCATCATTCAGGCCATTAATATGGATTCTTACGAAGAGGATGAGTTAAAGGAAAACTTTCTCTACGAATCTGAGGACAGTGGTAGGTCAAGGTCATTTATTTCAATCCAGTAGTGGGTATTTTTTTTTGTGGAAGGAAATAACAAATGAAACAAATTTTTGTATAGAGTTTTTTAATAAGAAGAGAATCAACTTTTACAGAGAGTTTTAGAAATAATTGGCCTTTGAGCATCTGTAAGAAATGACCATCCCTTGTTTGCCTGAAATACAAGAGATTTGCTAATTGAAGCTTTTACTTTAGTCCTTTACTATGTACAGTGTATTAAAATTTCACAGAATTTTTTCTTCCAACTTCTTTCTTAGAGCCACACCAAAACTTGGCTGAAGTATCTTTAGAGTACTAATCAAATTCACTTTCCTCTTTTGAGGGGCATGAGCTTGAAATTCAAAAAATGTTTAAATTTGGTTGGTACCATTTTAGACTCCTTCTTGAAAACTAAATATTGAGCAGGAAATTCATTTAATGCTTAGATATTGGCAACACAAGAGCATATTATGATCTTTTTAAAATAAAAAAGATGGAAATCTCTATTTGAAGTAAATTCAAGAGAAGTATGACCAATGGTCATTTAAAAGTGCCTTCATCAACCACAAATACTGTAAGACTTAGTGACAATAGGGTAGGCTCAGATCTCTCAAGAACTTTATGAACTACATGTGTCTACATTTACATGTATTTTATAACAGCTTGAAAACCAAGTTAAAGTTCATATGAAATATAACACAGAATAAATTGCTGCAATCTCCAAATTTTGCCTGAATTGTGGTAAGAAAGTAGTCCATTAAATTAACTATAAAAAAGATATGTGTTGCTGTTTGTAGATGTTATGATATATGAACTTTGTGTTTTTCTTCTTTTGCAGCACAAGTCTTTGATGTTGTTGTGCAAGAAACAGAAGGCTCTAAAAGACTCAATTTAAATAATTGTGGAAAATATAAACTATTTGTTACCATGGCCTCACTGGGTCTTGAAGATACAAAGACAAGAGAAATTATGGGCAGGTGGCATTTTGAGTATATTCGTCGCTACGGATTTACAAAGTCTCGGAATTTGTTTACGATCGAAGCTGGACGAAGATGTGAGACAGGAGAAGGAAGTTTTGATTTCCATGTTGTTGGAAATCCTAAAGCACTGACACTAGCCATTGACAATGCCACAAAAAGTAAGCAAGCCTCATCTCTGACAACAAGGCTTGGTATGGATTCCGGAAGCAAAGAAGTTGCAGAAAAGTCCAGAGAGTCGTTAAAATCAGCAAAGAGGGCCTCTGAGCCACTGTCGAGGAAGTCATCGAATTCGTTGAAACTTGAAATCACTAAAGACAGTCAGTCTGAGGACGAAACGCGAACACCTTCTACGCTACCAGCCGACTTCAAACACTCGCTGGAGGAAAAAATCAGCAACCATCCCTCATCTCCCAAGCCTCATAAAGAGGGCAGCGGCAAAGAGAAGAAGAGGGGTTTCTCATTCCCCTGGAAGAGGGATAAGAGTGAAAAGAAAGACAATCCTAAATTAGAATGTAGTGAGCCTAATGCAGATTTATATGATGAACCTCTATCACCAATATCCAGTAAAGCTTCAGTGAAAAATAAGAAAGCGGAACCAATTTATGATGAAGCTGGTGAAAATAAGACCCCCCCAGCACCCAGTGGCAAACCACCAGTTTATGCAGAACCAGTCAAAGGTAGGACCGACGCTTGGCGTAACCAGGGAGCGTTGGACGAGCACCATGAAGAAGATTACAAGAAAATCAAAGACGCTGCTTCCAAAGACGGAGGAAAATTGCCTCACATTGCAGATAGACCGTACGATGAGGACGACTCGATGTACGACCGCGTGGACCTGAAAGCGAATCCCAAGGGGCCCAAACCAAAAAATGCAGTCGTTCCTAATGAACACATTTATGGAATTAATTCTGGTAAAGACATTGATGACATTGAGGATGGTGACTACGCGAGTGCCGAATATCCTCAAGATGAAAAAAAGCAGGTTAGATCGTCAGAACCGGTTCAGAATGACTACGAATTTGAAAATGATGATGACGACGATACTTACGCAGATACAATGAATCCAACGGAAGAATACGCAGATGCAGTGTCATGTGTTCGTAGTGAGCCTCCGAAAAATCGGCCAGAGTTGTACGAGGATGTTGATAACAGCTAAATAAGCAATAGAGAGAAAATTTTGTTTTGTTTGTAAAATTTATTGCATATGCAATCATTATGAAGTATATATTAAATAAGATGGTGAAACTTAAATAAATTAAATATTTTCAATCCTATACATTTAATGTATGGAATATAATTATTGTATATTAATATTTTCAAATTGCTTTTCATTTTTCTGTTAAAAAAAAGCTGCATTTTATATATATATATATATTTAAAAAAAAAACTTTTTTAACATGATGTTTGTTTGTTTGTTTTTAAATGAAAAAATTCGGCCTGTTTTTAGGTGGGAATTTTTTTTCCATTAGACAATTGGAACATCAATGCTGAATTTTCAAAATCTGAATATTGTATTTTTTTTCCAATTTTTTTTTTTTTTTTTTTGAAAATTATGCTCAACATTATATACGTTCCATTTCCATATACAACTTAATGTACAAACTTTACAGGGACATTTTCACCCCACCTCCCTCACTTCTTTCTTCCCTCTTGCACATCCAAACAAATTGCAAACAAATAAGCCCGATCATTTTAGATTTGTCTATAGTAATGTTTAAAAAAAAAATGCTGTTTTATTAATTCATCCCTTTTTATATTATTTGCAAAATTACAACAAATGAAGAAAAATTAAAGAGAGGAATTTTTTCCCCTGTATACAGTTTGTTCAGCATCACACACTTACGAGCCAATAACATTTAAATTTTCCAACAAAGCATATGATTTAAATAAAAGCAGTTTCAGGGCACTATGCACTTTTCAAAAATCAGATATGATTTTACCAAAAAAAAAAAATGCTTGAGTTATTCTTCTCATCAAAAGGATAATATACCTTAAGATTACTTTTTCAGGAATAATTGTGAATATAGTGAAACTTTTCTAGATAAAGAAGGAATACTTTGTGATTTGTTATTGGTAAACATTTGTGCGATACAGTATTACAGTATTTAATAGGAAATGGTGTTGGTATTCTAGTAATAGTGCTCTTTGATATATAATAAAAAAAAAACAGTTTATTAAAACTAAACTAGTTTCATTATTTTTGATTCTGTCAGTTATCCTTACTTGTTTGTTTGTCTGTTTAATATCCATTCTTTTATAAAAATAATTCTTAAAGTTGTTGTGTGGTGGTATCAAAACTTGGTTAAAATATTGAAATTACCTTTAACGTATTTTAGAAAAATTCTCCATCTCTGAACTTTTTTACTTTATTGAGTTATAATATTCTCTCTAAAAAAATTTTTGATATAGATCATCTGTTTATTCATTTATATTTGCTGACATCATAACATTCCAACTCTTTAAGCAGCTTAAAACCTAAAGCTTTAAAAATATGAAACCCCATATGCGTGTGTGCAGTGTATATACTTTTATATTTTTGTTATTTTTATACAATTTTTTTTTACATATAGTCTTCCTTTAGGATATTTTTTGAATGATCATCAGCCTCTTTGTAAACATAATAAAAAGATATTTAATTAATATGTGCACTATACAAGTATTTGTTAATGACTGAACTGCAATGAATAACTGATGTAATGCAAAATTAAAAAGTACAACAGGCAGTTTTTTACCAACATGTTATTATATAGTGCAAGGAAGGTGTTTTTTTTTTTATAATTTATTTTATAGAGCAATACTTGAACAATTTTGATGTATGTGTACTTTGTTTGAAAGATGACTGACTAAGTTTAAAAGTTCTCATCTCCTTTTGCAATTTATAACCAGATTAATGAAGAGCCTGGATTAATCTGTTGAATATAATATTGGTATTTTATTTATAGTTCACTGCTCATTATATATAATCAAAATGATGTCTTTTGTTGTGAAGACCACAAAACAGTACATGCATGTTATTTTTAATTGTGCCACTTCATTATTTTCAAGAATTCTATGACACTGCATAGACATTTAGTTTCATTGTATTAAAATTTTTGATTAGGCCTTACCAAAACATATTGCTAACAAATTATAATACATGTATATAAGATGCATTAAGTTACATAGAACTAGAAACTCAATGTTTAAAAAACATTGTTAGAATAACTTAACAAATGTATTAAAACTGTCAAGTGCAAACTTAAAAAGTAACTATTAAAATACAATGAATCTTATGTCCAGCAGTTATGTAGCATGAAGTATAAAATACTTGCAAAATACCACCAGCTCCAATCAAACTGTTATATTTGGTTACATGTATAGATACTGTGTACAGGGTTATTTTCACCCTGTGTTATTTTCACCCTTTCACATTTGGAAACAAGTTTGCCCCATTTTAAATTCGCTCAGAAAGATTATTGTTAAAGATATTATACTTTATTTTATGATTGAATAATTTCCATCTCTCTGATTGGCTGATATCCAACTATGTTAGAAAAATATTACGTTGTATTGACCTGCACGTGACGTTCCAGGTCAATACAAGGATTTATTTCCTCTACATTGATCTAAAAATACCAGGTAGTTTCGGAAATTCCAAATTGATACAAATTGTTTTAAAAAGCTATTTAAATGACTATGATTTTTATTTTCATGTGAACAAAACATAAGCGAATATATATTTTAGGTAGGGTATAAGAGGGGATGCATGTGAACAACAATTTTTTTTTTGGCAGTCAGTTTTCCCTGAAAACTTGTTGCCTATAAAAAAGACTGACATTATATATTTCTTTCATGGCAACTAAAATTGATTTATTAAAATTATTTCAAATTAATACGACTGGTAAGGTTTATTAACATTTTAATTCTGCTACTCTCTTGTATTTGGCTAAGACTTAATAAAATGCAAACAAGTAATGAGCTGTATCATTTTATCAGTGATCATATAATAAAACTTATTGCTGTTTTTTTGGTCAATACAATGATTTAGCCATCTTCGAAGTACAATATTCACCTTGCCCTTTGGGCTCGGTGTATATTGTACTCCTCAGATGTCTAAATCATTGTATTGACCTCAAAAGCCAGCAATAATTGTATAATATTTACTTTGAATTTGCCCCGTTTTAAAATCGCCCACTTTTGACGAGGGCTAAAGGGGCAAAATTTAAAGGGGTGGGGGGGTGGGGGGGGGGGGGGGGGGGGGTTGGCGAAAATTTCCCAGTATACAGCAGTTCCGTTTGATGGCAAAGTTTATTGAGTTGATAAGAATGACGGTGACACCATCAAGAAGGAAACCTTAATTTTAATAAGTGAGTTTTAACTTTTTATTTTTTTTTTTATCAAATGTCTGCTGGTCAGATTTGTAAAATGGTGTCATTTTATGTTGAAATGTACATTATGTTAATGGACTTATAATTAATATGAAATGTGTAGTCATTTTTATTAACTAGCTTTATTTAATGCTTATAAATCTTTTCACTCAATGTTCATGCTTTCTTCTGAAGCAGTTGAACCTATTTAAGGGTATTTTTATCAAACTCTGAATTGAATTCATTTGTTCATATATTCAGAGTATGTAAATTGGTTAGAAGAGTATTGCATTTAAAAGCTACAAAAGTTAAAATATTTAAAAGATCATACATTAGTTAGATCAATTTGAGAATAGATTTTTTTTGATTAAGTTATCTGATTTTCATGACATGAATACCCAGGCAGCATTTTTATATAATTAATGAACTTACTAATGAAGTTTATAACAAATAAAGAAAATATAAAATAAATACTGATACACCCACCAAAATATAATATCAGTGAAGAAAAACATCAAAAATACAGTTTGTCTTCTTTACAGTAACAGTTTTTTTTTTTAAAAATACCTTTTCCCCATATATGTTCTTTCATGTCGTCAAACTTTTTAGATAAACCTAGATTAATCCACAGAGAAATAATTTGGTTTTCATTTGAAGTTGGATGTTACTTGAGTCATTAAATCAATGATTTGTTCAGGATTTTTAAAGTGCCATAACATGCTTTGATTGGTAAAATTAATATGAAGCCTGTCGGCCAAAAACTAAAACATGATTATCACACTGAGAATGATTTTTTTTCCTATATATATTTTTAAATCGTTGGATGTCATATTTATTTTTCTCCTTGTGTCAGAAGATATAATAGAGATCGCTATGGATAAATTCTTAAACCAAGGTAACCAATTTGTGTATTGAATTTGTTCACAAATCTTTTTTTTTGAAATGCATTTTATTTCTTTTTCAAAACCTTGCTACATTTAATAAATAATAAATTATATATTAAGCAATATAGTGTCATTATCATTTTTATTTTGATTTTAGTTCAGTTTACAGTTTCCTGTAAATCTTTTTTCATTTGCACGGAAATTATTTTCACTATATATTTTTTGTGAAACTTTTATGTATTTTTGAGACTTTTCTCACAGTTATATTAATTATTCCCTAATAAGAGACATACCAGATCAAACACATGGAAAGAAACACGTACCAAAACTAACTAATGAAAACTTTATTTGCCCGATAATTATACAGTAACACTCTTTGTGAATCACGGGGAATACCATTTAAACAGATTGACTGGTCTGAAATAGAAAATAATCATAATATTATTAAGTTTAGAGCAAATTCTCCGTATATGAAATCTTTAAACACCAAATGTGACAATGAACCTTTTTTTCACAGATATACTTAAATAAAAGAAGATTATGTAAAATCTCTGAAAGAAAAATCCAAGATCTAATTTTACTTTATATAAAAGAACATGGTCCGATCGGTTGTATATTAATAAATACTGGTACCCTTTTCTGATGAGTGAAGAATGTCCTACACTAATATTAAGATGTAAATAGTAGTAAAAGAAGTTTCGCACACATGCATTTCCCCCGTGAAAAAGATATGAAAACTCCCTATTTCGACCTCAATGCCCCCGCCCTTCGAGATTCCTGGATTCGCCACTGTGTTTTTTGTAGATTTATTAATACCTTTCACAAATGATTTTCTCTAAAGAATGGCATCTTTTCTTGATAAGCCTCATTTTCCCGCGGATGCGCATGGCCGCTACACACTTCCGGTTACGGAATTTCTTTTTATCACTGCCTCTCCAGTCGAGTGACTTGTACCCGAAACGCCGTAACCCTGTGTGCCAAATAAGTCTGCCGAGTACCTCATTCCCTCCCGTGTGGTAAGCTCCTAAATTAAAAAAATGATTTCCATGCACGATCATGCCCTGTTTGTCTTCTTGATTTATAAATTTCAGCAATACAGTATGAAGTCAAGAGCCATAAAGAACTTTGTCGGAATATTGGTGGTCATAAATCGCTAACTTTGGAAGCTGTAATTTTATTATAAGGGAGCTATACCAATGATCATAAAAATCTTGAGAAAGAAATAAAGAGACAAGCAGCCTTAAAACTCTTTACAAGCCATAAAGGTGCGAATGAGGTCATAATTATATATATAGCGAATATAACAATCTTTGGGAACTAGAAGAAGCTTTGGGAGGTATAAAAACTGAGAGCTACAAATAATTTCGGGACTGTTCAATTTCATTGGGAATTATTACGAGCTCTCTGATCAAAAAAGGAGCTTAATGAGTATCAGAAAGGGCTCTGATGGGCATAAAGGAGCTAAAGAACTCTAAGAAAAGTTAGGATCCATAATGATAGGGGAGATATAACAACTGTAAAGGCTTTGGAAGCCTATTTTGAGATCGGGATCCTAAAAGAAGTTATAAAAAGCCAGAAGGAGTTTTAGGAGCCATGGATTCTTTTGGAGCCATAAGGAACTTTTAAATATGAGCAACTATGGGAGTCTTAAAGAAACTACATGTATAATATAAGAGCCAGTGCTTTGAAAACATGAGCGAAGAAATGCTGGAGATATAAAGGGGTTGTAGAAAGTAGGGATGCGTTCAATAGCGTTACGGCTATGTTTATACACGTACCTGTATGAAATACGTAATGTGGAAATAACGAACATTATTATATGATAAAATAATTTCCATCTCTCTGATTGGCTGAGATCCAACTATATTAGAAAAATACTACGTTGTATTGACCTGCACGTGACGTTCCAGGTCAATACAAGGATTTATTTCCTCTACATTGATCTAAAATAGTTCGGGGAATTCCAAATTGATACAAATTGTTTTGGAAGGCTATTTAAACGACTATGACCTTGTTATGTGAACAAAACATAAGGGAATATATATTTTCGGGTGAGGGTGGTAAGAGGGGATGCAGGAACCCCCTAACTCAAACACTTTTACTGAACAACAATTTTTAATTTTGGCAGTCAGTTTTCCCTAATAATACTCCTTCCTTTCAAAATCTTTCCTATAAAAAAGACTGACATTATATATTTTTTTCATGGATACTAAAATCGATAAAAAAAAACATTTCAAAATGATACGACTGGTAAGGTTCACTAGTACAATATTTACATTTTAATTCGACTTCTCTCTTGTATTTGGCTAGGACTTAATTAAATGCAAACAAGTAATGAGCTGTATAATTTTATCAGTGGATCATATAATAAAACAATTATTGCTGTTTTTTGGTCAAACAATGATTTAGCCATCTTCGAAGTACAATATTCACCTCGCCCTTCGGGCTCGGTGAATATTGTACTCCTCAGATGGCTAAATCATTGTATTGACCTAAAAACAGTAATAATTGTATAGTATTCAAGTCCAAAAGTCCACAAAACAGTACAAAATAGGAGCAGGGCAAAACATGTATCTCCAAAACATCAGTGGGATCAGATGCCATGGAGTGAGCATCCCCAGCCGACCGGTCACACCCTGTGCTCCTTGTCATGACCTGGAAATAACGGGAAAATCCGTCGTCAATTCGATGCGTATAATAATGGACTTATAACTAGAGCCGAGCTCGTTGCAAAGCAAAGAGTAGGTCTTCCGTCCTGTTTGACCGGAAGTAACTTTTATTAAAAAAAAAAGTGTAATGACCGGAAGTGACGACGACGGACAGAAAATTAATATTTAAGCTTTTAGTGAGACATGTTACCCAAAAACCTGTCAAAAACGGCAAAAATATGCATTTTCTTACTACTTCCGGTTCGACCGGAAGTGACGTCGCCGGACTTATTTTGACTACCCCATTAGATAAAGCTTGATATTTTGAACAACTTTGCTTCTTTGATGCATAACAAATTCTCAATACTTTTTGAGATATCTGGATAAAACCTTTGGCCCCTCTAGGTCCCTTAATTTAGGGGTCAGCCCTTTTTTCGACATATCATTTGAAAGATCTTCTAATTCTGCACAAGTTATGTTCTATATATTTTAACAAAATATTTTTAGTTTAGAAGATAAAAAGAAAAATATGAGTAATTTTTGGTTCTTTTAAGCGTTCTAATTTTTGACCCCTATATAGCGCCATTTTGAACAGAGAAATCGAAAAACAAAAACCAATGTGCACAACTCCAATCCTTCTTTTATCTAAAATCAGTAGAATTTCTGCTTCAGCTTTAGCCGTCTCTGAGCCTTTGTCTGGAAACGAAAGCCTATAAATTTTACTTTAAAGGAAAATAACTCAAAACCGGAAGTGGCTTTTTGAAATTTTGACATCATTCTGATAGAGTTTATTAACGTCTATAACGTCTGAAAATTTGAGTGAAATCCTTTGAGAAATGAGCGAGATATGAGGCCTCGAAGTTGCGGTCTAGGAAGCAGAAGAAAAAAAAGAATAACTAGAGCAAAGCTCGTTGCAAAGCAACGAGTAGGTCTTCCGTCATGTTTGACCGGAAGTAGCTTTCACTTTTAACAAAAATGAGAAATAACGCCTAAAAATGGTTTGAATCCTCTAAAGCTATGTTAATTAATACGAAAATAAGCAATTTTTTGCTACTTCCGGTTTAACGGGAAGTGACGACGATGGACAGAAAATAAATTTTTATGCTCCCAGAGACATATGTTACCCAAAACTTTGTTAACCAGAAGTCTCTGTTGAGACTGTAGCTCTACTGGTTTGTACTTATCAAAAACCATTGCACTATTTTATGTATCTTTGTGTAGTCTACTTGTGTGCCAACTTATTTTGAAATCAAACTAGAACTGTAGAAGGAGTAGCGTTTTTAATGAATTTCACAGAAAATTCTATTTTTAGTAACCATGGTAATACCGTTAATCGAAATCAGAAACTGATGCACTATTCTATGTATCTTAGTGTAGTCTACTTGTGTGCCAAGTTATATTGAAATCAGACCAAAACTGTAGAAGGAGTAGCGTTTTTAAGGAATTTCACAGAAAATTCTATTTTTAGTAACCATGGTAATACCGTTAATCAAAATCAGAAACCGATGCACTATTCTATGTATCTTAGTGTAGTCTACTTGTGTGCCAAGTTATATTGAAATCAGACCAAAACTGTAGAAGGGGTAGCGTTTTTAAAGAATTTCAAAGAAAATTCTATTTTTAGTAACCATGGCAACATCGTTCATCGAAATTAAAAACCGATGCACTATTCTATGTATCTTAGTGTAGTCTACTTGTGTGCCAACTTATTTTGAAATCAGACCAAAACTGTAGAAGGAGTAGCGTTTTAAAGGAATTTCACAGAAAATTCTATTTTTAGTAACCATGGCAACATCGTTCATCGAAATTAAAAACCGATGCACTATTCTATGTTTCTTAGTGTAGTCTACTTGTGTGCCAAGTTATATTGAAATCAGACCAAAACTGTAGAAGGAGTAGCGTTTTAAACGAATTTCACATAAAATTCTATTTTTAGTAACCATGGCAACACCGTTCATCGAAATCAAAAACCGATGCACTATTCTATGTATCTTAGTGTAGTCTACTTGTGTGCCAAGTAATATTGAAATCAGACTGAAATTGTAGGAGGAGTAGCGTTTTGAAAAATTGTTTACAGACAGACGGATGACAGACAGACAGACGGACGGACGCCGGACGCATTACTATCGCATAAGCACTTCTGGTCTCTGACCAGTAGAGCTAAAAACGGCAAAAATACGCGTTTTCCGACTACTTCCGGTTTGGACGGAAGTGACGATGCCGGACGCATTTTGATGACTTTAATAGAATAAGCTTTACATTTTGAACAACTTTGCTTCTTTGACGTATTACAAATAATTCTCAATACATTTTGAGATATAAAGAAAAAACTTTCGGCCCCTCTAGGCCCTTAATTTTAGGGGCCAGCCCTTTTTAAAAGATATCATTTGAAAGATCTTGGAATTTTACACTTCTTTTGTTCTATATATTTTAACAAAATATTTCCAGGTAAAAAGATATCGTTAAGGTCAAGATCTAGTAAATGAAAGGTGCCTACAGATTTATCAAACTTGAGAAATAAATTCCTTTATTGATTCCTTACAACTTTAGCTTGGTTAAATAAGGTGTTTCGGGGCATAATTTGTAGGTAAACAAGATGAAAAACTGTACTTTAAACTGTCATTTTCAATGAAAAATTAAGAAAACCAGTCATGAATATCGGAGTTTTTTTCGTATTCGGCAAAGAAAATGTATCCAGATTGCCTACAGTCTCTCAGAAAACGGTAATTAGTATGTTCATGGCCTCTTCTTTAAATCGATATCAAATTTAATATAGGTATCCGGTTTACTTTTCATATGATTTCAAATTGAATGACATGAAAATACCCAATTTTGTACATAATTCTGCTAAAACCGTAAAGTACGGGAAAAAGAAAGTTGAAAATGATTATGACGTCATAATGGATCTAGCACCAAAAAATCAATCTGAAGTTATTTACTAGATCTTGACCTTAAAAAAATGTTAAAAAATTTGAAATTCGCGATACGACTATTTTCGGACCATAGCGAGCGCCGACGTGCGGCACTTCCGATAAAAATGAAATACCTTATACATATCTATAGACTTTGGTCTATCATACCTGAAATTTTCATGTTTCTATCTTGAGCCATTATTGAGAAAACTGCCGGACAAAATGACCCTCTAAAACTCACAAAATTGCAGAAAACTCCGAACCGGACGTGACGTCATCAAATTAAAAAAAAACGCCTTAAGTTCATTTAATTTGTCATCAATGCTGAAAGTTTCATGAAAATCCATCGACGCATTTACGAGAAATCGCCTGCACAAAATCGGTAAGAATAATAATAAGAAAAGTTGAAAAGAAACAATAGAATAATAAGAAGGTCTTCCGTTGAAACGGAAGACCTTAATAATCTTTACCAACAGAATCAGTAGAAGGTCTTCCGTTGGAAACGGAAGACCTTAATTAATATGAAAAAGGTCAGTCAGCATTTGACTCAATGATGAATTGTATTCGCTGACAAAGTCATTGTATCGACCATAGAACTTAGGAAATGATGACCTTAAGCGAGACTGCTTTTATTCTCCTACCTAGTTTTAGAAAGTGTACATACGTAGAGCATGCTCTTGTGTATCAAATTAAGTGAGACATAAACTCCGTATGCAGGTGATGAAGGTACATGTATATTGCTGCATAAGTAAGGGAAGTTGACAATAGAAAAGTTAAAATCATCACGTTTATCACAGAGCTTGATTGTTAGATTGCCATTAACAATGATTAACGTATTTTTCAGGTAAAATATCAAAATATGGTAGAGATGTTTCAGATTCTTTGGTATTTTTTATCTCAAGGTCACCAGGATATATCGTATCGATAAAAGAATGGAAAAAACCATTGTTAAATGACATTACGTTGTCGAAATATCTAAATGTCGAGTTGAAGGTCACAGCAAGTGTTTTCTTCTTTTCAAGAATAAAATTTTGGACAAATTCTTCTTCATAAATACGTAAAGCTACGACCTTGAGCGTAAAATTTGTCTAGCCGCTGTTTGTGGAAAATTAGCAAAATACTTGTTTATCAGTTCAAAGATTATACCTTTAGTACAACTTCTCAGCAAAGGAGAAAAGAAAAGAAAGATGCTAATTTCTATATCTTAGTGAATTAAATAAAAATTGATTTTATTTAGATATTTTTGCTTGAATAAACTTGTTTCCAGAAATAATTTTTTTACTCAAAATGTACGTTAACACCTAGCAGCAACGCTAGCTGTCCGTTATTTACTACCTAACTGCTAGGTTAGCCGCTTCGATCTTGAACGCAGACCAAAACTAGAGGTACTGTGAGCAATGAGCTCACTAAATGATACCCCTGCCTCCCATATGAATATAATGGCAGTGTCCAAGTTTTTGAGAAACCCAAAATATGTGTCGGATTTATAAGTAAAATAGGAGGTCACAATGACATTATTAAGGATATGGAGATATCGAACAGTATTAAATATCAAAGTCCGTAAAACAATACAAAATAGGAACAGAGCAACACGGACCTTTAAAGCATCACATTTGGGATCAGGTGCCATGGAGGAGTAAGCATCCCCTGCTAAAAGGTTCTCTGACAGTCTCATCAAATTTCATTCAATTGTGTAAGAGGGGTTGCTGATAAGAGATGGGTACCCCAAAGCGTAACAGACGTACAGACGGTCATCCTGATTACTACATGTATATACCCTCCCGCTTTTAAGCAGGGTGTACAAAAAGCTTTTTGGAACCATGAAGACTTTTGGCATTTATAAAGAGCTTTTAGAACCATTAAAGCTTTAGGAGGCATTAAAAAATTTGGAAAATATTCAGTAGCCCTAAGAACAAATTCTAGCTTGACGACTGTGCCCCAAAGAGGTGTGAGAGCTATTAGGAGTTTATAGGTAGTCACAAAGAATCGTGGAAGCCATACGAACTTTGAGAGTTTTTGACGCAATTATAGAGCTTAAGGAGTCCCAAACAGGGCTTGGCGTCATGAATATGCATGTACGGCTTCGGCTTTTGAAGCTGCTTTAAGCTCAAAATCTTTGGGAACCTTTTAAAAAATACTTGAGTCCTAAAGAACTATAAGCATCAGGAAGGAGAGATGCATGGCTTCGGAGCTATAATAGAAGTCATGAAATTAAGATTTTAAAAGGTGATAAATATATAGAGCTATGAAGTTTTACCATCGCCCATTTTCTCGCCGAGGAACTTCTGCTCATTTTTTGATGAAATCTCTACGGGATAGCCTTGTAGGATCCAGCACGCATTCTTTCAGAAAGAGATACAATTTATAAGTTATACTCCTTATTTTCAATATAATTTTTTTTTTGTTCTTTCGTACATGTATTGAACTAAGCTAAGGAATTTGTCATTACAAATGACCTGTAGTATACACTCACCCAGGCATCGAACCAGGTGAACTTCTGACGTTCACTGATGAAATAGCAGGAATCTCTGTATTGGACCCAGCCCCGTCCACACTTACCGTCCGCCGATACTGTGAAAAACAACGATTGAAACAAAAATATATTGCTTGTTTGTTTTATGTTGAAAAAATTTAAATTTCCTAGAAGTGTACGAAGTGTTTTCTGTAATTTGCGTGCAAGATTCTGATGTTGTCTACAGTTGAGGACTAACAAAATAGTGACGAGAAAAATAAAATACAAGGAATGATATACATGTTTGATTTTTATTGTACATTATTACACACTTAGTAATAAATACAGGTTTTTTGCATATGCGATATGGCTGACGTCACAATAGCCGTATCAGCCCTGCAGGGCTGATATGGATTTGCGGGGCTGATAACTATTAATATCAGCCCCGCAAATCATATCAGCCCTGCAGGGCTGATAAAACGTCAATATCACACTCTTAGTAAATGAAACCACAAAAACAGTACTTGTGATCGTACAAAATTTTTGGTGGGTTCATGTTCTCTTAATTTTAACTTTTTGAAAACAAGGTTAATCTTAATTTACAAATACATGTAATAGATTATTTTGAATTACGGATCGAGTGCATTGAAATAGAAGTAGAAATAAACCCCAATCGTATGAGACAATAGATCATGTATATTTCTGTAAGAAGTCCATGCATGATTATTTACTTATTTTCTTCTCAACTTAATGTGTTCTGTATTTTATTACTAAGTATGTAATAAATATAATAAAACATACCCTTTTCCACATCACATCCTGTATCAGTCGACCAATATCAGCCCTCGGGCCTTCTCTGGCTGATATTGGTGTCTCGGGCTGATACAGGATGTGATATGGAAAAGGGTATGTATTATTCTCTATATGTATACTCAAACTTAATTTTTGCAGAACATCCAGATACTATAGTGTCATAGAGAAAAACTTACAGTTTTTCAGTATACTTATTAATCTTTGAAATATGTAATTAATTTTAATTATTTAAAACATTTTATTATTATTATTTTTAAATATTTCGTAATTACTGATATTTACCGGATATGTCAAACATTTAAGTAAAATTAATTATTATAAAAGAATTAATGTTAAATTGATTTTTATGCTTAAAGTATATGTTCAGAATTTTTATATATATTTTATTTTTGATTTTGTATGATTACTCTGAAGTGTCGTTTTGTCATGTTATCATTTTCAACTTCAGATTGAAAATTAATAAAAGACACTAGTTAGTATTTAGTCAACATTTACTTTGCTTATATAAGTGCATGTACACGTCTAAGAGACGGGAGAAATGATTACGTATCAAATTTAAACATTCAACGCTTGAATATAGTTACATGTACATATTTATTTTACCTACTCTCCTTAAATAACGGTAAGTATGCTGCTTTGAGATTTGAATGAACCGATCACATTTCTTATTTTGTAGATTACTAAACTGTTTTCCTCACCAGATAATAATCAACATACAAACCCCAGATATGCTAGAGACAATATTGACAACTTTACCCGAGTATGTCCATCCACACAAAATAGCAAGTGCTGCAACCAACTTCATGTCTCTTGGCTGTGTGTTCAGAAATGACGAATAAAGTTATCCCGATGGAATAAGAATCAAATAATACCTCTTATATCCATTCTGAATAGAGTTAATATACATGTACCTTTGTATAGAAGAAATTATTTTCACACGTGTTCCTGGGGTTAATTTAAAAGAAAATGCAGTATTTGTATAATACATGTAACTTGGATGTTTCCAACGGTGTTTGACCCCTTTCTCACTTTACCTGTATTTCTTGAAATAATGATCATGAATATGGTATATCTTTAACTAAGCATATTTATTTTTATATTAAGGGGCAATTTCCAAATTTCACTTTTTTTTTTAAAGCATAAATTTTATTTAAATTCAAATGGAAAATAGTTTGAAGCATGAAGCGTTGCTTAATTTTTCAGAAATGAATAATAAGTCAAATCAAGAAAATTCGATATGGCAAATAGAAAGATCAATTATTTTTTTATCTCACAACTAAATTAGAAATATGAGGTATATATGAAAATAATATTTGCTCTCATACCTAATTCCTATTAGAAAACATACTGAAGCGTTGCTTTTTTAACCAGAATATCAAATTGTTTTCTGAGCATGTAAAATAATACGCATCCATAAACAAGAGTTATCGTTCCATTATCGCCCTTGAAAATATTTTTGAATGGAACAAAATATTAATTAAATGTTTATAAACAAATCTGCATCTGAAATTTCTGTACAATTAAAAAACTTATACGTTAAGAAATAGAAATTTCTCAATTTACACCATTTAAAGGAACTGAGCATAAATGTTAAGGTAATCTTTTATAAATAAATAATAAATATATTAGCGATAGAAACTAGAAATCAACATCTGTACGATAGAATAGGGTTGATTGAATTGACTGTAAAATAGTTCATATGAATGAAATTTGTAAATTCGGGCATGAAAATTCACTGAATTTAATGAAGACAAAATATCTGCAGAAAGTTATCTCTCTTATCAAAAGAGTAATCTCCCTTATCAGAGGGATATTCCACCTTAACTTTTAAATCAGTAGATTTTATGCGATTTAAAGTATTTTAAAAATCCATTTCTTCAAATACCAATAGATGGCTAACTTCTTTTTTACATATAATCTTCCTTTATTCTTGATTATTATCAATTTATAAAAGATTGTGGAAAGTTCAAAAATAAAGAAAAGAAAACCTTTAATAACTTGTAAATGATAGTTTCAGAAAAGTCATCTCAGTTACTACAGAATTAAACAATTCATGTAAAAATAGTCAGACTTGGCATTTCCTCTCATTCAATATCCATTCTCTTACACTCGGCAGATGATCAATTTTTTTTTAATTATAAATCTAATATATCAGACAGTCCAATCAAATTTCCCTGTAACATAGACACTAAATTATCACCGCATTAAATTAAAATTCCATCGTGTCTCTGTTTGAGGATATCCTCTCTTGAGTCTGTTTTCTTTTTCCTCTGTCTGTTCTATATCAGGGCAATCCTTTCCTGCGCCGGCTCTATAATACCTTCCTACACCGGTTCTATTTCGGGATATCCTCTCCAGTACTGAAGTTAGACACCGTCATTCTGTTGCTATTTGTCTCAAGTTCTGTTCTAATCAGCTGATGATGAAAACAAAATTAAAAGGTTTTAATTTTTACGCAAAGCAAAGAAAAAAATCTTAATCAAAAATTTTATGAAAACGATAAATGTTTGTAAAACATTTATGCCCTCTCCCCAAAATAATTGGATTTTTTTCTAAGTGCAAGGGACATAACTCTATCCAAAATAACTCGGTTGTATCCAAAACGGACCTTGACATAGATATTCTTTTGATAAATATGTATACCAAAAATCATTTCTGTATGTGTAACCTCTGCAGACAAAATGAACGAAAACTGCTAATGATTTGAAATTCTAAGTCTAAGGAGCATAGCTGTCTGAAATGACTCAATTGTGTACCAAAACAGAACTTGACCTAGATAGTAGATATTATTATGATAAATCTGTATAAAAAATTTCATTTTAAAATGTGCAACCTCTGAATAAAATGAATGGAAACTGATGGTGGACTAACAGACAGACAGACAGCAGCAAAGCAATATACCCTCCCTTCTTCGAAAAGCGGTGGGGGCATAATAACTAGATAAGTTTGTTTTCCTAGCTGGTACAATCAACAAATCACACTAGCTCATGTTCTTCAAAAATATTATTTTAGTGTTCATCATACAATATTTTTCATAAATTATATCATTATTTGAACGCTACTTATACCTAATTAAGCAACAGAACTAAAATTATAATTGGGAATCAACTGGCACAAACTGTCTACCCTAGATTTATCTGAGTACTGACCTTTTCTTTGGGTGGTTGTTGCTGAGATGCCGCCACAGATCGTTGTTGCGGATGTTGCTGGGATGATGCCACCAATCGTTTTCGCTCTCTGACCTGCTTCTGCCACAAAATCTGTTGCAGACGCTGAAGTTCCTGCTGTAAAGCCATACACTTCTCCTCTAGACGTTCTCCATTGGCAATTTCTAGGTCCTTACTCAAACTTTAAGAATTCGTAATACTAGCTAGTCAGTGACAGTCAGTATTACATTTTTATTTTCATCAATATTTATTAAAAAGTTTATGTTTTAAGATTCTATGGCCTTTACGATATTGAAATGCATACCGGTATATTTTAAGTTCCTACGAGAGCATGGAGAGGTTACCTTAAAAATTCTGGATCGGTATGAGGCACCATGTTTAACTCTGTTTTTCTGGCTGTAAGGATATCTGTCTGGTCTTTTAATTTCTTTAATTCACCGTCAAGATCTGAGGGAAGACATGAACAATTTAGTTTGGTCGACATAAAAGATGCATTAAAATGTCTTACGTGTAAATTCGCCATCAAAATCTAGAATAAATTGTCGAACCTACAATGTAGTCTTGTCGACATATGGACAGTTATTAAAAAGTGCATAAAAATTCTATGTTTATCATAGACTTATAATATGTCTTAAAATACATCTTTGAGATTTTAATTTAGATAGGGCCACAGGGTTATTTGCACATTCGAACATCAAAGGATCGATGGTGCGACAATGCGATGACAATGGTGCTACATGTAACACAATAGGGCGATAGAGAATATCGCTTCATCGTGCTGTGGCGACATTGTTTTCGCTCCATTGTGTTATCGCAATCGTGTCATTGCACTTTTGCGCCATCACATCATCCGCATCGCTTGTCACGCAATCGCTTCATTGTCATCTAACCATAGCTAGCTTCATCAGCAGCGCTTTTTGAATTTCAACCCAATTAAAACTCGATAGTACCATGATGCAATAAGTGAACTACATGGCCTTTCCAGATTTCGTGTGTCCGTTGTAACCAGGTAGATGAATTAAGGAGTATTTTTATAACACAGGTATCACAGTAACTTTGAATCAGAATATTCTCTACATGATTGTATGCTAACCTTCTTTCGTTTTCTGAAGATTTTGATGTCTTTGTTGTTCATTATTGAGTTGCTTTTCCATCTCTTCCAAACTTCTATGTCTTTCTTTCATGACATCCAACTCTGTGGGAATACAAAGTTTTTAATGCAATAAAACTAGGTCATGTTTCCCTGGAAATTGCAGCATTTAATCTTCAGCAAAAAATCATCAGAACTATTCTGCAAGGAGCCACTAAAGTCATTACTTCACTGTAATCCAGCAAAACAAATACGAGTAAAATTGGAGATTAACTTTGAATACTGGCAGATCTAAGTGTCAATTAAAGTAATCCAGCTCCACTTCTTAGTTAAAAGATCCCCTTCGCATGCACACGCACAGAGAGAGAGGGGGGGGGGTTACCTGCTCTTAGGCTTATTGCCGTCTGTTTAGCCTCCTCCAATACTTTCTGATGCTCCTCTTTTCTACGTTGATGACCCCCACTCTGTAACCCGTAACCCTGTATGAAGCCCCTAACCCCACGACAAAACCCCTCCAGTGCCTCAGACTTTCTATGCTGCGTGTCTATCTGCATCAATGTAAGATAAATAAATAGTTTAAAACAATCAACCAATAAATAAATGAACAGATAATATGGTGTGTCACAGTGTGTGCATCATGTCATGTGTTGTAAGACTGTAAAATCATGACAAATAATGATTTTTTTTTTCAGATTTATAATTTTTGTATTAGACCAACAATAAAAATGAAAGGTTTGTTACCATCAAAATTGTCCCTATCCAATAACTAATAATTTTTTTTTTCAATGAAATATAAAATTCGGAAGTGGAAGTTGAACTAACACAAACCAGACATTTCTGGACACGTTGTTTTTCCGTCTCTAAAGCGGCCTTTTCGTCACGTAGGATTTGTTCCCTGTGATCTAAACACTTCAAATTCACCTCTTCTTGGATTAACAAATTTGTCTACATTGGAAGAAATGGATTTTATTAAAAAAAAAACAAATAAAAAGAAGTCTACACAATCAAAATTAGTTTGCATGCACTTGCACTGTACTGCAAATATGTCCAAGAAATATGATTTGAAAGAAAACAAGCTAATTCAGAGAATTTGTGTCCCCCGCTTAGGGAAAAAGTAAACCATGCGCAGTTCGTGGAGGGGGGGCGGGGGTGTCGAATCCCCCTGACTTAGTTGTAAATAATTAAATTTGTAGAATTATTAAATGTATACATGTATACTGAAGCAAATAAAATACATGTATGTGAATATGCATTTAAAGATTTGATTGCTTATTCTTTATTATGTGTATAGAAGATTCTTTTTATATGGAATATTTATCACACTGTAATAATGATTTTATAACCTCATAAATTTTTCATTTCACATGCTGAATACTATCATTTAGTGAAAAAAAAAGTAATTTAAAAAAAAAAGATAGGATCGACCGAGATTCGATCCCGGAACCTCTCGCATTAGAAACGAGAGACATGACCACTGGACCACGGAATCGCTTTAACCGATGAGAAGTATATGCAGAACTGAAGTCACATATATGTATATATTCATGTTTTCATGTTCGGTATTCTCAAAATTTTACACAATCCATGGTGTTTGATTTATTTAGCCTTTATTAAACAGTTCTAATAGATGTAATAAGAACATAAAGTCCGCCGAGAACCTGTTTTATACGCAAAAACTCTCCTCATGCCCCTGCGCTAAAAATAGCGACATGTAATACTATAAATACTAATAAAACAAACGGGGCGGGGCACTTTGAGAGGGGCGAGAGACGTCCTAGGGAGTTTTGGTATAAAATTACATTGCATAAGCTCAAAATCTTCTTCAAATATCGCCCGAAAATGATAATATTATACACAGACAGAATGTATAAATTTACGACCTTGAACTTTGACCTTTTGACCTCAAAATCAATAGGGGTCTTCCTTAGGCCACAGGGAGTTGTTATGTAAAATTTCATTGCAATAGCTCAAATGGTTCTAGAGATATCGTGTGGAAACGAAAGTGTTTTAACAGACAGAATTTGCTTATTTATGACCTTGCCCTTTGACCTTTTGACCTCAAAATCAATAGGGGTCTTCTTTAGTCCATAGGGAGTTGCTGTGCTAAATTTCATTGCAAAAGCTTACAGGGTTCTCGAGATATCGTGTGGAAACGAAAGCGTTACAGACAGACAGAAAGACGGACGGACGGACGGACGGACAAACCCAAATTAATATCCCCCACTTTTCAAGCGGGGGACAAAAAGTTAATTCAGCAAGTCAGGATAATTAAATTGGGGATGGAGTGTGCTGTCCAAATTAATTTCATCAAGTTGAAGTTTATTTCCATTTTCGTGGTGGAACAAACTGAAAATCTGGTCTCCCAATAGATCTTCTGCATCATTTTTCTGTTAAACTTACTTTACATATCAGTTCTCTTTGTAACTCTTTGTGTTTTTTCTGTAATCCATCTTTTCTGGCTAAAGTCGACTGGATCCTACATTTTACTACAAAACAAAAAATATTGAACTTTAATAAGGACATGTAATCTTATCATATGCTGCAATTTTGCATTATATACACTGTAAAAAGTAGTGTTCATTTTTAACATGTTCATATGTTAATTGATTTACGGCAGTGTTAAATCTTTAACATGTCATATATTAAAGGTGTAAAATCTTTAACACATGAACATGTAAGCATTCCATGTATTCCGCTTAAACATATTATGTGTTAATAGCTCCTAAATCTTCTTGCAAGTTTATTTTAATTAATATCACCATTTTCTTTACATTTTGTTTTAAATTTAGAATGCAAAACACTTTGATGTGTAAGAATTTTGTAACACCCCAACTGGTATATTTTCTGAACATATTTAATACCTTATTTCACTAATATGTATATTATTATAATTGTTTGGTGTATATCAATTTATATGTATCACATCTACACTAGCTGACATATAATGAGTAATACTCCTGGCCTGTTCGTCAGAATATCATTAAAAATCCTTGAATTGCATTTGGTGAAAAAAAACACTCAAAAGCTAGTAATAGAACATACGATATTGTTAACTATTAACACCCGTGTTAAAAGTAGGTATTATTTCATTAACACATTAAGTGTTTAAATTAGTGATGAATTACATCACTGAAACTGACCTCTCTCTAGCTGACCTTTTGCCGCCGCATCAGTAATTTCTTTGTTTCAAAGAAAGCAGTCAGCAGAAAATTCAAAGAAAGCAAGACCAACTTGATTGTATGTTCTTGTGAGCAAAGGTGAGTTGATTTTTAAGTTATTTCTACACGAATTGTAGTACAAATTCTATTTCAATAACATTTTATGTAAATATTATTTTTCAAACACTTCCATTTTTGCATTCTTTGGTCGGTTGAGTCAAGTAAACCATGTAAACAAAGAATAGATATTGTACTAATTTATAACCGTTGTATTAAGTATTTGCTTATGGATTTCCATCATTTTTTTTAGAATGTCCAGTCAATAGAAGACCTGTCATCCAAGAATTTCAAAGCATCCTGAGTCTGAAGAGGAATAGACCATTCCAAAGTAGCTTTTTTAAATGATGAAGGATTTTGTGATATACATGTACATGTACATCGATCATTGGAGACGTTTTCCTTTGTGAACTTGACAATTTTGGACTTATATGGTGGTGAATCTAAATTATTTCTCCTTGGACTTTGAATTATTATACTGTATCTTGGATACCAACTTAGAACGTTATTTTAAATTGTATTCGCCTAATCAGACGATTACTTAAAATGTGAGGAAAATTTGGACGTAAACATGGTAAACGGATTAAAAAAGAAACAATGGTATCCTTTATGACTGCTGTGTGTGCTCATGGCAAAATCGTATTATGTATTTGAATTGGACTACCCTTGCAGTAATCTACGGACTGTTTTGGAATATTTTAAAACATTGGTTTGGTGGCATCTTTATACAAAACTACAAATTTGAACTAATTTAGTGAGCAATTTTACATGCACGTACGTGTTGAAAAATAAAATAATTCTCGTACGATATGTATTTATGTTTGTTTTTTCCTACAGGACAACAGACAAAGGGATAATAATGAGGATTCTATTTTTTGGAAACGTGTGTTAAATGTTAAACACCAATTTCAGAATTAACACGTTAAAGCGTGAATTAAGTGTTTCCAGGGTTTTTAACGTGTAATGCGTTAATTTTAATTAACATTTCTACATGTTTATAGATTAACACACCCGTTAATGTATTCACACTTTAACGTGTGAATTAAGTGTTTCCAGAATAGTGTTAATAATTGTGTTAAATTATTTACACTTCTTTTTACAGTGTATACATGTACGATTTAGTTTTGTTTAAGTGAAGATTTTGGGTTATAAACCACTATAGGGTGTAATCAAGGGCTTGTACTGAGGTTTGTTACATAGGCCCTACATGTAGCTCCCCTCACCCCATTTACGCACACAAAATACAAAAAAAGATTTCCCCAAGAGCATTTCTGGTCTATTTTATAGAAAATATGGTGAATATGTTTATCAAAAAGGAAAGCATGGAAAGGGTATGCTGAAAAGAAATTATATTAGTACATTGGCGTTGGAAGCAAATTTAAATGGGAGGGGCGGGGAGGGGGGGGGGTAAGTGAAAAAGAATGTCCAACCAACGAAAAAACTTGATGTCCTAGCAATAAAAAAAGGGAAAAAACGGAAATTTGTTCATTGTCCAAACACGAAAAACCTATTTCCTAGGAGTGTGGGGGTGGGGGTTGTTATAGTAGCCTATCCATCATTTTCAGTACCAAACTTTTTTCCAAACCTCTACCAATTACCCTTTTTGGACCTCCAAAGGCTAAACTTCAACGTACTTTGCAAAAAGGGGGGTCCCCGGTTCCGACGCCTTTATGGTAGTGGCAGATTTGACATAGGGGCTCGGTTACAACGGAAACATTAATATAATTTATGTTTCTGGTTACAGTGTAACTTATCTTGTGCGATCGCCTGTCTATCTGGTCACAGCGGTTTTTTTTTAATATGAAGTTAAAACTCTCCCTCACTTTCAAAAACGATGCTTCGTCACTGGGATGTGACTGGGGGTAGGGATATCATACATGTAATATGGAGTACTCATTTCACTCTGGACTCTACTCCAAATATCTTTTTCTTTTTTTAAACCTCAACCCATAGATCTAGGCCTATTTATTTTACCTTGTCCATGAATTATCACTGATAATGAATGCGCTCATTTCATATGATAAAAAAAATAATGGAGTGAAAAGAGTCTTACAGTCATGATGGTACTTCTTCTTTTGTTGTGCATGAAGCTCTGAATGAATAATCTGATTAAAAAGATCGTCTAAACTTGTCGTCATTTTTCAGTGTGTCTGATCCCTTTGAACTTCGCGCGTCTGCGTGCTTTAGTTTGACGTCAAAAGTCCTCTAGAGTTTTCGTAAGTAAAGGCTGAAATTACGATAAACCCGAAATAGTCCGGGAGATTGTTGTCAAAACATACTGACTCATGAACAGGTAATTGCTAAGAATAGTAACATTACTCTTGACGGTTCCACCTACCCGGTATAAAACTTTGGGGGAAGTATTTAGGATGGCAGAAGGAGGTGTTACAGATTTCAGCGAACAAGACCAACGACAGGAATTATCTAACATGAAGACAGAGGCGAAACAAGAGAAAATTCTGGAGGAACCTGCAGGAAAGGCCGAAGGTCAAGACGAGGGCTTGTCAGAGTTCTTGGAGAGGACAAAATGGTATTTTTAACCGTCAACATCAAGAATTCATAATTATTCTGTTTAGAGCACTGTTAGATTGTAAAATCGACATGACTGTCATTTAAATTAAACCTGACACCACAGGGGCATCTTATCCACTCTGTTCTCTACTTCACATATTTTTATATGTGAAGTAGAGAACAGAGTGGATAAGATGCCCCTGTGCTGACACCTATAGAATTTTATTTATAGACTTCCCAAAGACGAGTAATTAAGAGATGTGCTTGTTTTCATTAAACTAATGTATTTATTTTGCATGCTTTGCAGCGATCGTATGTATGAGCTTCGTCAGATTCAGTATGGAGAAAGGCCTGTAACTAGTACTGGTAGAAAAAATGTCATTGACAGCTTCTTCGCCAAACACATGCAAGCTCAGGAAGCTAAGCTAGAGTCAGGAAAAGAAAATGTTCCCGTCAACGTGGAAAATGTGGACGAAATCCGCCCAGAGACAGTGGTTGTAGAAATCCAAGGCTTGGTAGAGCAGCAGAGGGTGTCTAACGTGCTCGGCACTGCCTTCAGACGGCGGCTCGAAAACATCATCCGTGGTACTATCTCAAATGTCTCAAATGTTTCCCGGGGCCCCAGGGCTTCTCCCCAACCCAGTACATCTCAGAGCACCACCCCACAATCATCACCCCTCAGTACAAATAACACAACTCCCCACAGTCTGTCTCGAGATGGAACACCATCTGTTGTTGCAACCCCAAACAGTCTTTCAAGAGAAGGTACGCCCATGGAGGCAGAAATACAAAATATACCCCGACCTGTGGAACAGCTTCAACATGAAGAACGCAGTAGGAGTAACAGCATCACAAGTGCAAGAAGTGGATTGTCCGCACACAGCACAGCAAGCTCAAATGGATCATCCACTCACAGTAAGATTAATAAAAAGATCTTTTGACAGTGCCAATTTAAGGAATTTTTATTTACTTGTATTTCCACGTTAAAATTATTTTTAATTCAATAATGACAACAGATTGATTTTATTTTCTTTCAGGTAATGAGAATAGAAGTCTTCCACAGCCTACTGTTAACAACTCACAAGAGAATAAGTGAGTACAGTACAGTCATTCTTAGTTTGATTTATTATAAGAGTGACACCTCTGCTTCTCTTTTTTCTTGAATATTGAAATGCAGATGATTTTTGGGAATGCTTATTTTCCACAGATGAATGAAAATTATAATTGAACACCAAAAATCAATCCCAAAGATAAAAGATTTAAGACTTGAATTTGAAAAGAAATTTGATTATAATATATGATGTCACTCTTTTTTAAAGTTGAAATGAGTTAAACATGGCTGTTTTTCTCCCTTTTAAAGCGTTAACCTTGGTAACATCCCTGAACATGTGATGGAGGAAATGCAACAGGAGCAGTTTATTCAAGAGATCAGTGAGCTGGTTCACCGTCAACTGGTTACCTCCACCCTACAAGGAAACTTCCGAACCACGCTAGAACTTACCATGAGGGTACGTAATTCATGTCTCATAAAATTTCTATCTGCATGTATGTTACTTGCCACATTGTAAGAGTTATCTTTCTTTTTATGCCTTGTATTTTTAAAAAAAATTAAGCCACTTCTGATAATGAATTAACCTTTAGATTAATTATGAATGTTCCACAATTCATATAAAAATATATAATACAATAAAATAAGGAATAAAATATACAAGCATCATCTTCATTTTCTGTCATTAGGGCAATCTCTTAGATAAGTAAAATAATGCTGCAGGAAGTTCCAATGACATTCATGTTTATGCTTATTATAGGATCACATGAGAGGTACAGATTCTGACGGCCAGAGGGTACAGGAGTATGTACAATCCCTCCAACCGACACAACCGATCATCCGGAACGACTTCTCTCACCTGGGGATTCCCCTCAATAACCAAGATAACCTGGACAATATCTCAGTCACCAGTGTCAGTGCTCACGCAGTGCCTTACACTCAGGTAAAAATTACAAGGAGCTTTGTGAATAGGTCAATATATAAAGTTTGAGAAGTAGGTTAAAATTTCATGCTCTATTAATGCCTAGGTCACATTTCCTGGCCGGTAGCCCGTAGACCGGTGGTAATCGGTGGTAATCCGTGGTGTTAACGATGCCCTAACATCGGTCCACATCGGCCTAGTAGTCCTTAAAGAATCAGTCACATTATCCAGCGATGGGTATACGATGGGCAACCAATGCGTTTTATGATAAAAATGGCGTGGTTGCCGGCCGGACTTACAAAGGCCCAGCGATGCATCGCTAATCATAAAACGATGTTCCAGGATAATCGGCCAATGTATATTACTTCGCTCATACGTTGGTGAACATCGTTCGAACATCGGTCGTCTACAGGCCAATGTTTGGTCGAACATGGGTCGTCTACAGGCCAATGTTTGGTCGAACATCGACCGATGATCGGCCTTTATCTGTTGAACACCACTAAACCCCACGATGGCCTCAGATTCAACGGATATTGGACGATGCTCGGCCATACATCGGCCGATTCGTGAAAGATGTGTTAATGATGGGTTGCCGATGAGGAGCTATGAGGCGCATCGTTGGAGACATCGCTGATTTTTTAACTATGAATTATTTCCTACCGATGACCCCACCGATTCGCAAAATAGCTTCAGTCACCGTCCGATCACTAATAGTGTCCGGGCGGCCACCACGCCATTTTCATCAAAAAACGTATCGGTTTCTCATCGTAAACCCCATCGCTGGATAATGTGACTGATACTTAAATGGACTAAAATTATTAAGTTGGTTTTATTTATTAATAAGTAAACATGAATTTAAGTCAATGTGACAATATCAAATTTAAAAAAATACCAACATTTAAAAATCTCAGTTAATTAACTTGTTTATTTAGAAGCGCATCCTTTTTCTTACAAAAAATTTGATTTTCAAATATTTCGTTTTTATCAGTCCAACATGTACCTGAGCCGAGAAATGGCCAGTCTGAAAGCCCAGGTTGAGGAGATGAAGAACATGTTAAAGGTCAGCTTCGACCTTCAACTGGACATCCAGAGGGCCATCAGGCAGGAAGTGGCCGCAGCCATGTCCGAAAAATCAGGTAAGTTCATATATCTCATTACTGCTCCTCCTGATTTCTGGAGGCTTATACTTTTAAAGAAATGTATACATGTAGTTCATTGAAAGGTTTGACCTACCGTTATTTAAGAGTAGGAAGAGTACTTCATGGTTGACAAAAATAAAAAAAAAATTACATGTTCATTTATATTACTTTTTATTTGGCAAAATGACCAATTATGCTGTTTTATTTTATTTTCGTACTGAGGTGCTTGAAAAATATTACCACTTTTGTTTACAACATAAAAATAAAATTACCGGTACATACTTTGTGGTACTAAATACATGTACTATTTGAGGTGGTATTGTCCAATTGTCCTTGTTTAATAATCAGCCAATTATTTTGTAGATGGAACTCGTGAGACGGCTACTTCCCGTCAGTCTCGTCCAGTCAACGACTCGCACTGTCTGATCTGCCTGGACAAATTCTCAGACTCGGTTCTCTACCAGTGTGGTCACATGTGCGTTTGTTACGGCTGTGGACGTCAGCTGATGTCTCGGGGTTCTAAATGCCCTGTGTGCCGAGCCCCCATCAAAGACATCATCAGGGCCTACAGATGTAACTACGAGTAAAAACAACGAACAGGAGAGTTTCTCTGTGCCAAATCCGTGGTTGAGTGGCTCTGGATTAAACAGTCCATCGCACACTGAATTTTAACATCATCCATTTGTATATATAACAGCTTGAACATGATGTTGTCGTAGATGAAGCAGTGTATACATTGGATTGAAGTTTGACTGAATTTCCCCCATTCACTTCTTGTAATGTATGTGCAGTACAGTGTTTGGCATATATATAAATTATATCTTTGCTAATGTTGGCCCTGAAGAGCTGACTCCATATAATTATCCAACAAGAAATTATGTTAAGCACCATACTAAAGCACTAATAGGCAGTGTGTGTTGGCTGAGAATGTTCTTTTGGTTTGCATGATGAACTCAGCTTTGCTTATAACAGTTGAAGTTTAAAAATTGGATGCTGAGAATTTTTATATCATTGCATTTCACATAGTTAAACTATCATAAGGAGTCAGCATTAAGTCATGTTGAATTTGATAATTGTTTTCATGATGTGTTGTTGACAATACATGAAACATGTTACTGTTTTTGTTATTTTAAATGATTTCATTTTTTCATACTCTTTTTCTAAAACATGTGCAATATTAACATTTAAATGAAATCATGTTTCCATGCAGTTGTTGTTTTTTAGAGACCAAAAGTAGATGCTGGTTTTGATTTTTTAATCCATGTGTTTGATTAAATTCTAACATCTAGAATTAAAAAAAAAATCAGAACTCAAGAAATGTTATTTATTTGATTGATATTGAATCTTGGAATATTCATCTATAACCCTCCTTTGGATTATATGGAAGCTTATTGTTGATTGGATAGTGAACTATCATAGCTTTAACATCTCTGGGTTATCAGTTTGCTTTAAGGATATCTTATCCCCCGCCAGGAAGGATAACTTTGAAATGCATCAGAATGAAGCTTGAAAATTAATTTTTTCATGCAACAATTTTCATTTAATCATCTTTATAAGATTCAATAATTTTGAAAGTCTAAGAAAGGGACTTTAAAAAGTTGACATTTGTACCCTAAAAGGAATAAAAATGATACAGTTTTAGAGAAATACCCAGTAAGGTTTTCTTGAATCCAGCATTAGATACCAATGCTTAGTATTAGCATGATATGAAATAAGAATTGATTTGTGGTGTCTTGCAACGATAGCATAAGCCTTTTACACTATATATTATAGAATACATGATGGAAATAGAAGACAAAAAAATACTAAATACATATAAAATCATGACAATTTCTCTGAATGCCTGGATGCCTATCTTTCTTTAACCTATAATATATCTGTTGATCAATTAGCAATTAGAAAATACATTGCTGATATTCCAGTTCGCTTTTTCTGATAAAATATTGGAGATTTGACAAGTTTCGCTATTTAATATGATTAACTTTAATCTTTAACTCTAATGAAAAACTGTGGATAAATTTACATGCTGTAACTAAATTGTGGATTCAGAGATATTTTCATTATTTAGTATTTTTTCTTACTTTAAAACAGTTAATTTTATAAACCTGAGGATCAGACTACCTTAATTATGTAGTTCATGATGATCTACTTTTGGAATCTTAAGTTTACAAAGAAACCAAAAAATGTGCCAGTGACAGTGTACAAAAAAAGAATGTCATATAATCTTTGTTGATGTTATTTAATTTTATGTCAATACACATGCATCTGTAGAAAGAAGTCATTTCTGGCTACTCGTTAACTTGAAGTGGATGAAATTGACAATATACTGCATGGACAAATAGTATGACTGACAAAGATTGCAATGTACCTAACTATAAATTAATAAGAAATGTTTTGGAGTTCTTTTGGTCCATGTGAGACTCTCTCTCTCTCTTTTTCCCTCTCTCTCTCTCTCCTTTTACTGCCACCTGTGTTCAGTTCATGACCTGTTGATGTACATTTTATTCATTTTTCCAGATCAAGTAAACAGCTGATCTGCTTATAATTTTTTTTTTAACTCACAACCAGGAACTGTAGCAAAAGTCCAAAAATCCCTGAAAATAATACATTTTTTTTTATTCTCCTTTAAAATTTATTAAACCAAGAAGTACATATATAAATGTTCACATAAAAAATTTGCATAATAATGTCAAAAATTTAGCAGTGTATTAAATATAACATTGTACAAAAGTAACCTGACTTTACTCTCTAATGTAACTTACCAGAGACACTGAATGGTATCATTTTACTGGCTCCATTATTAATATTTGGGGCTAAAATGATAAGAATTTAAACATCTAACATGAAGTAGAATTACTGAACATATAGTACTCTCTTATTCCATTATTATATTACTTTAAAAAGCAAATAAGGTTCGTAAAATTCCTCTTGTATGTTAAACAAGAGGCCCATGGGCCTTATAGGTCACCTGAGTATCATGCAACAACTTTCTAGTGATTGAATTTGGTTTTTATTTTAAGCCAGATGCTATGGCATTCACAATTTTGAAAGAGGCACCATTGCTAATCATACCTATATACTTAACAAATTGCTTAGTTTGGTTACTTTAAATACCTATGGCAAGGTAGGGGAACAAAAAATGCACTTCAACTAATAAGTAATATTCATTAATAATCAGTAGTGCCCCTACCACACATGAACCCCTGACCCTAGGTCCACACATTGCACAATTTTTGAAAAGGCACCCTTGCTTATCAAAAATATTTGATTAATACAAACTTGCAGATTTCAAACAATTCATGTTCAGTATATAAGAGTAGAAGCCCACCCCCCCATGGTACCCCTGACCATGAGGCCTTGAAATTCACAATTCTGGAAGAAGGGCGCTTGTTCATCATTACTATGTAGGTAGTTCATCTGCTTAATAACCTGGAGCAGAGAAGAATATTTTCAAAAAATTCATGTACATGTATTTTCACTAAATAATCAATAGAGCCCCACCCTAACACCAGAACCCCTGATCCTGGGGCCTTGAAATTCACAATTCTGGAAGAGGCACTCTTGGTCATCATAACTATAATATGTACTTAATTAGTTTATTTAATACCCAGTAGCAGAGAAGAAGATTTTCAAAGAATTCATGTATTTTCACTATATAATCAATAGAGAGCCCCGCCCTTACACCAGAACTCCTGACCCTGGGGCCATAAAATTAACAATTTTGGTAGGGGCACTCTTGCTCACCATTACTATGTATTTAGTTAGTTTATTTATTACACTGGAGCAGAGAAGAAGATTTTCAAAGAATTCATATTTTTTTTCACAAATAATCAATAGAGCCCCACCCTAACACCAGAAACCCTGACCCTAGGGCATTGAAATTCACAATTTTGGAAGAGGCACTCTTGGTCATCACAACTATGTACTAGCTTAATTAGTTTATTTAATACCCAGGAGCAGAGAGGAATATTTTCAAAGAATTCATGTATTTTCACTATATAATCAATAGAGAGCCCCGCCCTTACACCAGAACTCCTGACCCTGGGGCCGTAAAATTCACAATTTTGGTAGAGGCACTCTTGCTTATCATAACTTTGAATTTAGTTAGTTTATTTATTACCCAGGGGCAGAGAAGAAGATTTTCAAAGAAATAATGCATTTTCACTATATACTTGTTTTAGCCCCACCCTAGCACCAGAACCCCTGACCCTGGGGCCATGAATTTCATAATTTTGGTAGAGAATTCAATGCTGATTACAATCATGCAAACAGTTTGACTGCTTGATGTCCAGGAGTAAAGAAGAAGATTTTTCAAGATTGCATTAATTTTAGTGGTTTTGGCCCCACCCCTCAGGCCCCAGGGGGGCAGGGGTAATGAAATTCATAATTTTTGTTCCCCTCTACCCATAGATGCTTTGTACCAAATTTTGTTAAAATTGGTTTAGTGGTTGCAGAGAAGAAGCTTAAAATGTTCAAAAGTTTACGACCGACGTACGACTGACGACGACGGACGAAAACAGATAGCAATAGTTTACTCAGGTGACCTAAAAATGAACACTTGGATATGGGAAGGTCTAGAATGTAATGTACAGCCTGCTCTCCTTATTAACATCTACATGATTGTACCCAAGTGATAATCAACCCTTTACAATCCATTTCTAGAACAGTACATCTTAAAATCAGGAGCTGAATAAAAAATGAAGAAGAAGAAATAAACACGTACCCGCTGTTGTCCGCCTTACGTTGATCTGTCTCGTGGTTGTTTGTGATGACGTCATAGACCCAGTGGTAGTCGATTCAAAGACGGATGAGGAAGACAAAGGGGGATTCGATGTTATTTCAGCAACAGAATTTGAAGTATCTAAATATAAAAGTAACAACAAATCTCAAAAGCAAAAGTAAATGTTGTTTTATACGAAATTTAAACTGTTAATACAGAGAGATTTACACTTACAATTGCAGATGCCACAAAGATTTGGACAATGATACGGGACGTTACTAAATTGGGCACACGAAGCGGTGGTGAGTGAATTTGTACACCAGGAGGTGTCGGGGGTAAGCAGAGAGCAGTTCACTGTAATAAAAATCAAAATCACTTAGTACTGTATGGTTCTAAGTGCTGTTTTCATATCAGATAACTAAATTACATTTCTGAAATCCTTCAAATAACATAGTGTAAAAATTAAAAAAAAACTACTCACTTGCACAATTGCTGCCAACATAATAGGGTCTGTTTAAGGAACACTGACAGGTACATGTGTATAGGTCCAAAACGCCATCATTTTCACAAACGATACCCCCACAATCTAAAGAAAAATATCATTCCATTCAGACAAGGACAACACGAAACAACACATCTCCCTTATCATAATTTGACCATTGAAAGGTCATAATGATCACAAACGCCCTTGGCTGTTCTTGATATTTCAAACATAGGCACTTGGGGTATGGACCCCCCCCCCTCTTTTTCCATTTTTTTTAATATGGGTTCGAGTCACCTTTTTCCTCTTTTTCTATTCTAATATGCACTATATGTTATCATTAATATAATCTCTTTTGTCTCTACAAGCTGTTTTTAAATATATCGTTTTCGATCGATACGTATCTCTTTATATACATGTATCGGTCGAAAACGACATATTTAAAAACAGCTTGTAGAGACAAAAGAGTTACATTGATGATAATATATAGTGCATACTAGAATAGAAAAATAGGAAAAAGGTGACTCGAACCCAGATTTAAAAAAAATGGAAAAAGAGGGGGGGGGGGGGGGTCCATACCCCAAGTGCCTATGATTTCAAACGTACATTTAAATCAAGTTATAGAGAATAAAAACTCTCTAGTCTCGAAGCGATTTTAAAATTCCCTAACCCATGGTCAATAGTTTCAGTATCACGTGGCGTGGTACTAAAACGTCAAGTAAAAAAAAATACAAAGCAAGCATTTAGGTATATAAATTGCCTAAACTGTACACGCGTATTTGCTGATCAGTTAGAAATACATTACAGGTGGGTAATTTCAATTCTTAATATGATAAACTAAATTTGAAAATCAGAGATAATTTTGTAATCATCCCGGGGATCGGACTACCTTTAACTTTCAATAAACTTCTAGTGTACTTACCACAAAGATTGTTTTCACATCGAGTTGGACAGTCGCCACAGCTGGTACCATTTTTATACGGAAGGTTTTGATCGCTGTTGCCTCTATAATATAAGAAAATGTTTGCATTTTACAGGAGAAAAAAATCAACTTTGTTTCATTTATACATGTACGAATTTGACATTGGGGTGTTCCTTCGGATGATTGACAGCTATAGAAAAAACCACCAATGACAGATTAGAGGCGTGTTTGTTCAGGTGATAGAAGAAATCACCAATGACATATTAAAGGCATGTTCCTTTAAGTGATAGAGAGAGAGAGGACATCACCAAAGATATAAGGAAGCATATTCCTTCAGGTGATTGACAAAAGAAATCACCAATGACAAATTAAAGGCGTATTTCTAAAGGTGATTGGCAGAAGGAACCACCAATGACAGAATAGAGGCGTGTTCCTTCAGGTGATTGACAGAAGGAATCACTAATGACAGATTAAAGGCGCATCCCTTTAAGCGATAGAAGAAATCTTAAATGACAGACTTATTCTTTCAGTTAGTAGACAGAATGAATCACCAGTGACAGATTAGAAGTGTGTTCCTGCAGGTGATTGGAAGAAAGAACCGCCAATGAAAGAACAGAGGCGTAATCCTTCAGGTGATTGGCAGATTGATTGATTGATTGATTGTATATTGTTTAACGTCCCTCTTGAGAATTTTTCACTCATATGGAGACGTCACCGTATGCCAGTGAGGAGCTTCAAATTTAGACCTATACTCGGCACTCAGGGCCATTGAGCAGTGAGGTTTCTTTATCGTGCTAGGGCCTACCGAGACAACCGAGAAAAAGAACCACGATGAAATATTAGAGGCGTGTTTTACCAGGTGATTGACAGAATGGTGTCCCCTAGGTAAATCTCAATAAAGAATAACATACCCTGTAAGCAAAGTCCACATTTACATTAAGCATACCCCCAGAATGATTGACAGTAGAACTGCATACTAGTATTCCTTTTTATGTGTGTCTCAGGAACTGCCATATTAAAAGTACATGCATATATATATCTGCTCTACTTACGGTGGGGAGTAGTTACAGACATAGTAATGTAAAGCGTTTGTCTGACAGTAGGCGTATCCACAGCCCACTTTGATGGAAGACGACCATACCACCTGTATAAAAGATAAATAAAGACATAAATAGCAGGCAATGTATATAAGTACGCCTGTAGACTACCTTAACGGTTAGGCCTACCTTTAACAATTTAACTGTTTAAGTAAAGAACATCATGCAATATCAGTGTATTTGTCGCATGTTACATGAATTATGTGGGAAAGGTTTTATACAGTCTTTATCTGAATTTATTTGAAAAAAGGGTTCTGTGGGAGAGTGATGATCCTTCAGGAAGAATAAAATGAGAAGATGTCCAAATCATTCTTCTTTCACAAAAACAATAGCATTTGATGCATGAAATTCACTGCTTCCTTGATGTAATACATGTAGTTGTAGATATATAGCTATAGTAACCTGTGTGTAGTGCCCGATTTCCTCAGTATTAGGTCCCCCAAATATGAACTTTGACACCTCGCTGTGCCACAGGTAGACAGTGGCATTCCACGTCAATCTGCCCCCTCCCCAAGCCAAATTCTGTCCAGAGGCAAATCGCCCTGAAATAAACCTCGATTATTAAATCGTTTTGCAGGATCTAGGTGCAGTCAATACCCCTCATGTAGAGCTCTATAATGTTAATAAATGTTATATATCAGTTCCTTCATAACCTCGAAAGCCGCTCTCCTGCTTAAACCTTTTACAAATTAGCCAAAAAAACTCAAAGAATGGATGGAAAGCGGCAAATAATAATATCTTATACAGTTCTAAAACTTAAGAAATGTTTTAAATTGAATCTTAATTCTTTTATCAGTGCCATTTGACTTGAAAATCTAAGATCCGCCTTTTAATCTTTCACCTCTTACCTGGAATATATCGTTGATAATTCCCGTCATGACTGAACACACAGTTTTCTGCCCATTTCTGTGCAACTAATGCAACATCGTCATCCCAGCTCTAGACATAGAAAAAAAAACTCTAATTTTACAGGATTTATTTTTTTTAGTGAGAAAATATCAATCCATTATAATTTTGTTAAAATATATGAGAGAGAGAGAGAGAGAGAGAGAGAGAGAGAGATTATTTATCTAAAAGACTTTTGTCTAAACTACATTCCATATTGCATATTGCCTGTTAAAAGTTTACTCAAGAAAGCATCTTTCAGGAAGCTGAAAACACTGAACACCAAAAAGTACTACATATGTAATTGAATATCTAGTGGCTTTATTAAGCAGAGACTCGTAGAGAAATCTCCTTGAGGTGTAAGATAAAATTAAATTTGAATCCAAATGTCATGTCCAAATTTTTAATATTATATTTAAGTAATCCTTATTTTCAAAGTGAGTAAATAAACTATTTCTATTTCCACTTCCATTTAACCTTTTCACTGCCATGCAGATTTCAGTGAAGAGTGAATTCTGTTGATAATACTTCACTGTTTATGGAAATTTTTTCTAAGAAAAAATGGCAGGTATCCTCTTATTAAAATGAATTAGTCTAAAGATGTCTTAATATTTAATAAGATACTTTTATATGATTTTTTTTTCAAAAGTCTAAAAATACTTTTCTTCAGCATGTTCAGGTCAAGCTAAGAATAAAATTTCCATTAAGAATTTATAAGATTATGGAATTTAAAAGTGATTTTGATAAGACCCCTCTTGTAACAAAAGTATGTGATTTATACTATGAATGTCTTTATAATTACCATTTTCATCATATCTCTAGCAGGAGGATCGACCTGGGACCTCAGTAAATTGTGTGCATCCACGATTTCTCTCTTCTCCATCTCTGACACACCTGTTACAGTGTCAATATTTAGTAATTAGTATCATGAAGAGTAAATAATTTAATTGTTTAAAACCATATCTCAGCATTCAATTTTCATACAGTTTTAAGGGGAAATATTTGTGTACTGATGACAATTATAAAATTAAGATGACTAATACTATATATCAAGAAGGGTATAAATTGAGACATTGTTGGATTTCAAAAAAATATTTAAGGAATTATTTTTTAATTATCTCTCTTCGCGCGGGTCTTTCGAATTTAAGATTCTTTGTTAAAAGACATAGGAACTCACCGCTGGCCCCAGCCTGATCGGATCTGTTTAGACATGCGCTGTGATTCTCTATCACTGTGAATCGGGGCTCACAATTAGCCTGAAATAGTGACAATGGATGTTTTAAGATCAAGCATCATGGTACTAAGTATTCGTCTACCAGGCTTGCAGTTTTGGTATCATTAAATTGTGCTTTTTTTCAACGTATATACTTATGTAAATATTGACAATAAATATTGCATTTTATAACATATACTAATAGATCATATATGTAGCATTCAATGGTGTATTTAATATTTAATTCTCTCAAAGACATTTGAAATTCACATATCAATGCATTAATTAGTAAAAGAAGTGAAAAAAATTATAGCACTGCCTATAATGCATTAAAGAAAAATAATGCTTGTCTGTTTTAGTATTATTTTTTTTCTACTCTTATATACATAAATGTAAAATTATTATTGATTGTTTATGCAACATAAAACTTACGTTAGCACTTCTTTTGTGTCTGTTGCCTTCAGCTAAGCAGAAATGTGCCAACACACCTGTTAATTAAATCAAAAATAATATACAAAGATTGTCTGAAAAAAACGTTGAAGAAAATTTAAACTGTAACTCATCCTTATCTTGAAATATATAAGTAGCTTTTCTAGATATCTCATTAGTAGTAATTCTTACTTAGACAGATAATTTTCCAGACACTCATCTTATTTCTTTATTTATTAGATCCAGTGAGCTATTTAATTACTGATATAATTGATAATTATTTATATAAGGTCATATACATGTACGTTATGTTGACCATCAGTGTTCGTCATTCAGGATATAGATATCAAATCTCGTTATATCCCTGTTAAGTAATAGGTTCATTCGTCATCTAATTCCTTCTAGGATTAAGTGGGTGTTCACTGTAACCAGGTTAATTTTAAGCAATGATTCGATCTTTCATGTTCACTGTTATTCTCTTCTCATGCACTGCAACTCCCAAGAAAGCAGTTTCAGTTGGGGTGGGATGGGTTTGCGATTGGACCGAATAGAAGGAAAACAGGAGGAGGAAAACATCTTCACAATGCAAGTTTGATGAAACCATCCCTCTTTCTGTAAAGAAACGTTTTGACAAAACATTAATGTTTTGAAGATGGGTTAAAAGGTCATTGGAAGTTGTGATGAAGCACATGCTTTTAATAAGAATTGATTTTCTTTCGTGAGGCATACTTTAAAAATTTATCCCCAAGTTACTTTGGGACCACAGTGGAGCTTTTTCACGTTGTAATCAACATAAGTGCATGTACTATACACATACTTACATATAATCTTTTATTTAGTTTTTAATGGTATATGAATCTAACAAAAGGTATTGTCGTGTCGCCCTTTAGGTCACCGCACTTATTTTGAAAAATTATATAACTCGCTGGCTTGTGATATTTGATAAAATAAAATATGTCAGAAAGGACAGTATTCAAGCTCAAAAGTCCATTCGAAGAATAAAAATCAGGAGCGGTGTAAATGTGTCTTAATGTGGACCTCTAAAACATCAGAGGTGGGACCAGCATCCCCGCCAATCGGTCACACCCGCCGTATGCTCCTTGTCATGAACGGGGAATAACGGAAAAATCTGTTGACAATTCAATGTGTAATTCATTTGTCTAACATATATTATGGAAAACGTCAAGTATTTAATAAATTGGATCTGCTGACAAGGTCATTGTATCGACCATAGAACTTACGAAATGATATCTTTAAACGAGACTGTTGATCTCCTTGTTTCATCAACATGTTTGTTAGTAATTTGTTTCAAAAGCTATTCATACGTGTATGTAGACGGTAGAGCATGTTTTTATGTAGCGAATCAATTGAGAAATATAAATTAGGTAATAAGGCTTTGTTGCTGCATACGTAAGGTAGGTTAAAGATTGAAAATATAGAATCATCACGTTTATAATAAAGTTTTGTCGTAAGATTGCCATTAACGTCTCTTTTTTTTTTATAAATTATTAAAATATGAAACAGAAATGTCAGACGCTGTGGTATCTTTTATTTTTATTTCAATCTTACCACGATATATCGTGTCGACATTTGAATGGAAATTACGATTGTTAATTGCCAATACGTCATCGAAATATCTAAATGTCGAATTGAAGGCCACAGCAACTCATAAGATTTTTTAAAATAAATTCTGCTTCATATGGATACAATTAAATATAGGGCAGCTAATTCGATCAACTGAAAAAAAGGTAATTCAATCAAGTACTTATACAATTCCTATTTATTTTATTAATGTTACAGATTGAATAATTAAGATCTATATAAAGCCTCTCTGAACATCGGTGGGTAAAGTTTGACTGATTTATATAAGCACACATTAATTTTGTCCAAAATCAATCTATATCACCGAAGAATTCAAATGCCGGTTTATTCCATTCTTTCATTCTATATTTTATTTTTTCACAGAATACTTAAAGTTCAGACTTCCTCACAAAAGATGTCATTTTATAATAAAATTAAATATGATCATTCAGCGAAACTTTTTATCTCCCTTCCTAACCACTATGACAGAATTTAAATTCAACGGATTTTTATGATGAATGATCTTTTTAGCTAAATACTGAAGGCTGTATTCGAACGAAGACAACTTCCTAAAGAGTCTGCATGAATATGATTAATGCACTCTTCTGTATAAATTCAGTCTTTTTGATTAATTAACATGAAACAAAGCCCTAATGAGGGATTCTTCTACCGAGAACAGAAAAAACCTATTACTGTCTAATTTACTGTTTCGTGCTTAAAATTATCATGAACGGTCTAATTGTTTTGAACTGTTTGTGAACGTTAATGAAATTCACATTACATAGAGGTAAGAATCAGTTAATATAACTTACATATGTTTTATATAAATACAACAATTATAGACGAAAACTTTCAAAGCGTGTACCGATCTCTAACCCCTCCACCCCACCCCAAAAATGGCTCTTTTATAGAAAGATACCAGTTGTTAATAGGCTCCTTATTTGTCATATGTCCCCAGAATAGGATTTTCGGGGGGGGGGGATCCATATTCTTTGTAATATCCCTTGATTTAATCCCTCCAAATAAAATAAAGTTTGGGCTTCAATATTCTATTCTTTTGAAAATGGCGACTAGTTCAATTGAAATTGATTAATAAGTATTAAACATTTAAAAAATCTTACTTCCTCAATAACTGGTTGGTCTTTTTTCTTACCCTTCGAAACAACAAGAAGAAAATTTAATTTAATCGACCTTTCCTACAAACTGTATTTCAAAGTACACAATATTGATGTTCAATTTCTTTCGAAGTTCTAACAGTGGTTTAATATCCATTATAACTGTCTTTGTCATGAAATGAAACATATGGAGATGACGAACATTATCTAAGATAAAAACAAATCATAAAACAATACAAGATTGGGGCATAGCAAACGCGGACCTCCAAAACCTTAAAGGTGGAGTCAGCAGTCATGGAGGAGTAAGCAACTCCTGCCGACAGGTCAAAACTCTCGTGTGTTCTTCGTAATGTTAGGGAAATAACGGAAAAATCCGTCGTCAATTCAGTGTATAAATAATGGAGTAACAATAAGTATGAAAAACGTCAGCCAGCATTTGACTCAATGAAACTAAAAATGAGCCAATTTCTCGTTTATTATGGAAAAAAAACTTCAGGGAGTGTTTGCTGCCTCATTGGATAAAATTGTGCTGATCAGATACTGGGTTACTGAATTATTACTGAAAGGTGACTGGTAAATATCTCAGCCATTCAGTTACATTTTCAGACCTTTTAATTCCTGAGAATATTCAGTTAACAGAAGTGGAGAGTTTCGTAATGTTTCTGCTTTCAAATCCAATATTACACAGCTGCTCAAAGTGGATTGGTTAAGTGTAAGTTTATGCTAATAACAACATAAATTTTGTATCTCAGTTGGTAGAAAAGCTGAGTTTTGAATCCAAAATGACACGCTGTTCGGAAGTGGAGGGGTGGGGTGTAAGTTTATGCAAATAATGTATTTTATATTTCTATTTTTGAGACCCTTCAAAGTAATGTCAATTGCAATTTATTTTTCTCTAAAGTAATGGCAATGTAATTCATCACTTTACCAAAGTAAGGGTTATGTAATGTATTCAATATATAAAGAATTGGTATTATAATGAAATGTAAGTCAACAGAGATTATGGAAATGTATTGCATTTTGTAAAAGATAGAATAGTGATCAACGTAAATCTTTTACTGTTACTATCATGGTCATCGTGATGTAATGCATTACTTTACAATGTTATTTCATAAAGCCTGCATAATAACAAAACACATATGTTCAGTATCACAGTAGGTTTGAAATGTTTTAAGTTCAAAATAATTGATGTTGATATATGATTTTGCACTTATATTTTACCACCCAAAAGCTAGAATCTTATCGTTGCAAGTACTATGGTGTGCAGAGCTATCTGTAACACACTTCGTCATTTTCCTCATACCCTTTTAAAATTTGACTTTATGTCCCTCCATATCTTTCAATAACAGAGACGGATTATCAGGAATTTTCTCTGCCATGCACCTGAAATCAGTTAAATATTTGCTTTTAACAGCCACGTTCTTTAGATTTACTGATGGATTCGCTACATGTAATTAACCTGAGGGTTGTTTATCAAACGTACATATTTCCACTGAATGTGAACGATAAAAATAGGAAATGATAAATGATACATTGCTGCAAGTTTAATCTATTTCGAGAACTGCATGAAACAACAATTAGAGAGTATTTAAATGAAATATATGATGATAGCAAACAGTATTCAAGCTCAAAAGTCTATTCAACAATAAAAAAAAATATGAGCAGAGCAAACACGGACCTCCAAAACATCAGAGGAGGGATCAGGTACCATGAAGGAATATGCACCCCTTGCCAATCTGTACGTCACACCCGCCATGTGCTGAGTTTTATGACCTGTGACTTCCTTATTAACAGACACAATTTCACAATTTAAATTAAGTGAAGCAGGAATTAAGCAGAATTTATTCAAAAACTTAAACGAATGAAGAATAAAACCTTAAATTCGACTTTAAGTTTTAATATATCCACTATGTACGATTAATTAAAGATAGTTATTTATATGTCGGCTGAATATATCCCAGTGAAGTTGTAAAAAGAACGAATAGAATCTGACTGATCCATTTCATAATTGGCTATCCTACTAAACGTTAATGGTAACAAAAAGAACGAAACTTTAAAACAAACGTAATTACAATAACCTTTCTACCGTAATAAACTTCTTATTCTGGTAGCAATTTGTATATACAAAATCTCCTGCATATGCAGTTCATGTTTTCTAGTTGAGAACATGTTCTACATGTACCATTGACTATGCCAAACATCTTGATGAATATAAAATTTTACACATCATTTTGGCGGGTTCTATATTCGATATGATGACCTTGTCGCTCGATTTTGTCTTTGGGTCGATTGTTGACTAACGTTTTTCATGTTAAATTGCAAAACCATTATCTACACATTGAATTATCTAAGGTTTCTTACCATTTACCCAATCTTGTCAAAGAATGCACGGTGTACGCATTCAACAGGGAAGGTTTGCTCCTCCATGCCGCCCCGCTCCTCCATGCCGCCCCGGTCCCACCAATAATGTTGATAAAGGTCCATGTTTCGCTCTACTTCTTTTTGTGTTGTTTCGGTGGATTTTGAATTTGATTTCATAATTTCAAATTTTCATGGATATGGAAAAACCAAACTTGCTAAATATAAACTTTTTTATGTAAGTCTTATAAGCCGAAAACTACCCATTATGTTAGATATTAGTGCCGAGGAGAGTCTAATATCTGACATAATGCTCAGTTTGAGGCTTATAACTTACTTTAAACCTTTCAAAAACATTTTTTTTATTCATCGCTGTTTATCATACAAACTTTTACTAATGTCAGGAAAACACATGCAACCATAGACCAAAATATATAGACTTTGTGAAACAGATAATAAAGCAAAGGTACAAAAGAAAAATTATTAAGGGAAGGAGAATTGATAATATGCGAGAGGTTTTTGTTATTTGAAGGATAGGGGTGGATTTTTACTTTCATTCTTTTTTTGGTTCTATTAGATAGAACCTCTCCCAACAAGAACAACGTAATTATGTCTTAAATATACTGATCTTTCACTGCTTTAAATAAATGACAACATAAATTAAAAGTAAAATGAAGTGAATTAGACTGCAGCACGTGTATTTTCATGTGTGCATATAAATGTTTTAATTATGCAACCTAAAGAAAACATGAAATGATAAAAAAGTTCTTGAAAACTTCAAATATTCATTTTAAAAAATATCTTAATTACCAGTATGATATGATTGTGGTATCGATTTTTGCTTGTCTAAATATGAGATATAGAAGTTTTTTGTTACGAATTGTTTCAGTAATTTGTTTTAAAGTAATTATTTATTGTGTCAAGTATAGGTAACACAGCCAATGAAGTCTTTTAATTGTTAACTTTGTTTATTACTTATACTTTTCAATAAAGTCTGCAATAAATGTATTGGAAAGGGTGCAATTGATTAATATCTTTATTTTCTGATAAAACATTTTAAAGTTCTTTTAAATTTCTATTTTACTCACTATAAAGTATACGAATTAGCAAAAATGATTTGAGTACAACTTTACTTGTAAGCATGTACAATGAGTAATGGCAGTTTAAAATTTTAAAAGATTTAAAATCAACCAAGCGATTTTACATGTGATATGCACCAAGGAAAGGCACCTATCTCTCGAGATTTTTTTCTTAAAATGAAAATATTTTTCTTCATTACACAATATCATTAAAGTAACTTCCTTTTCTTTATCAGCTGACGAATTACCTAACAATTAACTGATTATTCAATTAACATTTTAAGTTTTCATTGCTACAGATATACAACAAGATACATGATGCAGAGTAAAAGTAAAAAGGAAAAAAATATAATTATATGCAAATTATAAATCTCCATAAATTGTTGCGGTTTACATTTAAAGTCGAAAGAAAATCGACTAAACACATTTCTATACACAAGGATTGAAGATAGAGTATTCTTAAACATTATGGTAAGTCTAGTAATATTTATCATATCAGAGTTTCTACAGCTTAATTAATTAAATGATCATGGAATATTAGAATATGTCATTTCATTTTGAATTCATATTAATATTAACTGTAGGTAATTATTCCAGTGCATATCATTCAGTCGCCTGTGTGGAATATAGTCAAGACAAGAAAAATGATTGCAAAATGTGTACATGTATTTGAATATTATATATTTTCTCATAGCTTGAGTAAAGAAATACAGTGCCATGTCAAATTAAAGAAAATGTACTTTTATTGAAAATAAAAAAAGACTTAAATGTAAATCTTGTTATTCTTAATGTTGAATCATTAATATGTTTAATTTTAAGAAAATTGGCTCGCCCTCTGAAAAGAGAGATAACTTTTTAAAATTAAGAAATACCCCATTATTAATAGTCCTTTCATAAGCCAATTCAATACAAATCTACACTTAAAGAAATATTTGAAAGAAAGATACATATACCATAATGAATGTAATTCTTTCAATCTCAGATTGCATTGTGATAATCTGACTTCAGATACTTTTCTAACATTATATAGTTTTTTTTATATTCATTAACTAAATAGGCATGATACTAAGTATTATTTTAATGTAACACTTACAATTACTTCTATGTTGTGATCTTAAACCAGTGCTTTTCTGATTCTCTTAGACGACATTTATTATAAATGTACCACGCTTCAACATGCAAAGAAAAAAAATATTAAAAAATAACATATGAAAAAAGCACCCCTTTATACTCAAGCTACTTTCAATTTGGATCTAATTTCCTAGTGAAAAACAATGCTAGGAATTTAAAAAATGAACTTTGGAACATATGGTCATTACTCCTTTATGTATTGCCGATTTTACAAACCTTCAGCATTTTCTGATATTATTTTTCTCTCCTTTACTTTGATTCAACTATAAATATGGGTCCTCTGCTGGCTTTATAAACCCTCTGCTTATTCATATAAAATGTTCGTTTAACTTTTATAATATTTCAAAAGAAAAGTATATGATAAATAAAATAAACACAATTTTATCATGGGCTGCGGGGCAACATTTGATAAGAAAGGCACTTCAACTTGACAAATTTATGAAGGAAAAATATAGATTTGTGTCATTAAGAGTTATCTCTCTTATCAGAGTTTTAATGTACCATCAGTCATATAATTTCTAACATGAAAATATATATATGTACTAGTATTCTGAAGAATGATATCACATGCTGAAAAATGTGCACAATTGCTGTATTTCTAAATTTGTCGATGTCATGTTTGACAATTAAAATGCATTAAACATGTATTATTATATTTTGAAATTAGATATAAAAAAAATATGCAAATATCATTTCTGCATCAAAAATTGATTACCGAATAGTTTTAGCTTAAGTATATCTTTCAAAAAATCAAAATTGTCAAATTGAATAAAATTTTCATGTTCAAAAAATTGTTTTGGTTGGTTTTACTGAATTGAGCACTGAATATAGAAAATGTTTGAAATTTTAAAAGTATTACTTTATTAGGGTCTTCCGTCTTCAGCGGAAGACCCTTCTATTATTCTTCGGTTTCTTTTTTACCTTTATTATTATTATTATTATTAAGGTCTTCCGTCTTCAGCGGAAGACCTTATTGTTTTTCTTCGGTTTCTTTTTCACTTTTATTATTATTTTTTTTTCTTACCGATTTTGTGCACGCGATTTCTCGAAAACGGCTCAACAAAATCTTATGAAACTTTCAGGACGTATGGAACATCACTTGAACCTTATGCGTTTTTTTCCGTTTCGATGACGTCACTTCCGGTCTAGAGATATCGTCGATTTTCTGATTTTTAAGGGTCATTTTGTCCACAATTTTCCCGAAAAACGGCTCTAGATAGAAACTTCAAACTTTGAGGCTAGGTAGAGCTATGTCTGGAGAGGTGCATCAAGTATATCAATTTTACCAGAAGTGACGCTCGTCGGCGCTCGCTATGGCCCGAAAATAGACCTATCACAAATTTCAAAATTTCTCACACCTTTTCTTCGATATCTTTTTACCTGAAAATATTTTGTGAAAACGTATAGAACAAAAGAAGTGCAAAATTTAAAGATCTTTCAAATGATATCTCGAAAAAAGGGCTGGCCCCTAAATTTAAGGGCCTAGACGGGCCAACAGTTTTTTCTTTATATCTCAAAACGTATTGAGAATTTCTAATACGTCAAAGAAGGAAAGTTGTTCAAAATGACAAGCTTAATCTATTGAAGTCGTCAAAAAACGTCCGGCCTCGTCACTTCCGGCCAAACCGGAAGTAGTCGAAAAACGCGTTTTTTGCCATTCTTGACAAGTTTTTTTGGTAACAAATGTCTCTAGAAGCAAAAAAATAATTTTTTCGTCCGTTGTCGTCACTTCCGGTCAAACCGGAAGTAGCAAAAAATTGCTTATTTTTGCATTAATTAACATAGCGTTAAAGGATTCAAACCATTTTTAGGCGTTATTTCTCATTTTTGTTAAAAATTAATGCTACTTCCGGTCAAACAGGACGGAAGACCTACTCGTTGCTTTGCAACGAGCTTTGCTCTAGTTTTTATTCTTTTTTCTTCTTACAAAATTTGTGCAGAAGATTTCTCGGAGATGGCTCGTTCGATTTGCTTCAAATTTTCACAGTCGATGCGTTGTCATCTGAAGTTAATTCCGGCAAATTATTTTTTCGAAATTCACTTCCGGTCGGGAGTTATCGCCCTTTGATCAAAATTTGGAGGACCTCCTTGTCTGTGATGGAACTCAAAAACGGCTCAAGCTAGAAAGATGAAATTTTTAGTGATGATAGAGGACATGTTGCCACGTTGCAACATGGTCAGGATATTTTCCGGAAGTGCCTAGTATGGAAGCTCGGTAGGGGTCAAAATTTAGGACACGTTTTATGAGTGGTTTTTTGAGACATTTTGTATCATATCTTTTAAAATATAAATATTTTGTTAAAACATACTGAACAACATTTGTGCAAAATATCAAGATCTTTAATATGATATCAAGAAAAATGTGCTGACTCATCAAATTAAGGGCTGAAAGGGGCCAACAGTTTTTATTCAATAACTCTTTTAAAGTCAATATTTTGTTATACATTACTGAAGCAAAAATGTTAATCTTAACCATCTACAACTTTATATAATGATTTGAATGTCATATGGTACATAATTAGGGGCCACAAGGGGCCAGAATGCTAAATCTTTGATGCTTTATATCTCGAAATGGAGAAATATTTTGATAAGCAATATTGAACAAAAGATGTTCAAAATAATGTTCTAAACAATATGCTACCTTTCATTTTTTGCTAAACGGCCCCATTAAGGAGTTGAAGGGTTGGCCCCTAAATATTTCTTTTGCTAATAGCTCAAAAACGAAAAGGAATTTCTAAACAGTTGTTGAACACAAAATGTTCAAAATCTTAAGAGCTTTAAGATGAGATCCTGAAAAAGGGGCTGGGCACTCAAATTAGGGGTCAAGAGGGGCCAAAAGTCTTCAATCGATAACTCTTTATCAGTTAATATTTTGTAATACATTTTTGAAGCAAAGATGTTCATCTCACCCATCTTCATCTAAATATTATGATTTTTATGTCGTATGGTACATATTTAGGGGCCACAAGGGGCCAGAATGCTAAATCTTTGATGCTTTATATCTCGAAATGGAGAAATATTTTGATAAGCAATATTGAACAAAAGATGTTCAAAATAATGTTCTGAGCAATATGCTACCTTTCATTTTTTGCTAAACGGCCCCATTAAGGAGTTGAAGGGTTGGCCCCTAGATATTTCTTTTGCTAATAGCTCAAAAACGAAAAAGAATTTCTGAATAGTTGTTGAACACAAAATGTTCAAAATCTTAAGATCTTTAAGAAGAGATCCCTAAAAAGGGGCTGGGCACTCGAATTAGGGGCCAAGAGGGGCCAAAAGTCTTCAATCGATAACTCTTTATCAGTTGATATTTTGTAATACATTACTGAAGCAAAGATGTTTATCTCAACCATCTACAACTATATATTATGGTTTTTATGTCGTATGGTACATAATTAGGGGCCACAAGGGGCCAGAATGCTAAATCTTTGATGCTTTATATCTCGAAAGGGAGAAATATTTTGATAAGCAATATTGAACAAAAGTTGTTCAAAATAATGTTCTGATCAGTATGCAACCTTTCATTTTTTGCTAAACGTCCCCATTAAGGAGTTGAAGGGTTGGCCCCTAAATATTTCTTTTGCTAATAGCTCAATAACGAAAAAGAATTTCTGAACAATTGTTGAACACAAAATGTTCAAAATCTTAAGATCTTTAAGATGAGATCCCGAAAAAGGGGCTGGGCACTCGAATTAGGGGCCAAGAGGGGCCAAAAGTCTTCAATCGATAACTCTTTATCAGTTAATATTTTGTAATACATTACTGAAGCAAAGATGTTCATCTCAACCATCTACAACTATATATTATAATTTTCATGTCGCATGGTACACAATTAGGGGCCAAAAGGGGCCAGAATGCTAAATCTTTGATGCTTTATATCTCGAAAGGGAGAAATATTTTGATAAGCAATATTGAACAAAAGATGTTCAAAATAATGTTCTGAACAGTATGCAACCTTTCATTTTTTGCTAAACGCCCCCATTAAGGAGTTGAAGGGTTGGCCCCTAATTATATCTTTTGCTTATAGCTCAAAAACGAAAAAGAATTTCTGAATAGTTGTTGAACACAAAATGTTCAAAATCTTAAGATCCTTAAGAAGAGATCCCTAAAAAGGGGCTGGGCACTCGAATTAGGGGCCAAGAGGGGCCAAAAGTCTTCAATCGATAACTCTTTATCAGTTGATATTTTGTAATACATTACTGAAGCAAAGATGTTTATCTCAACCATCTACAACTATATATTATGGTTTTTATGTCGTATGGTACATAATTAGGGGCCACAAGGGGCCAGAATGCTAAATCTTTGATGCTTTATATCTCGAAAGGGAGACATATTTTGATAAGCAATATTGAACAAAAGTTGTTCAAAATAATGTTCTGATCAGTATGCAACCTTTCATTTTTTGCTAAACGTCCCCATTAAGGAGTAGAAGGGTTGGCCCCTAAATATTTCTTTTGCTAATAGCTCAATAACGAAAAAGAATTTCTGAACAATTGTTGAACACAAAATGTTCAAAATCTTAAGATCTTTAAGATGAGATCCCGAAAAAGGGGCTGGGCACTCGAATTAGGGGCCAAGAGGGGCCAAAAGTCTTCAATCGATAACTCTTTATCAGTTAATATTTTGTAATACATTACTGAAGCAAAGATGTTTATCTCAACCATCTTCATCTAAATATTATGATTTTTATGTCGTATGTTGCATAATTAGGGGCCACAAGGGGCCAGAATGCTAAATCTTTGATGCTTTATATCTCGAAAGGGAGAAATATTTTGATAAGCAATATTGAACAAAAGATGTTCAAAATAATGTTCTGAACAGTATGCAACCTTTCATTTTTTGCTAAACGCCCCCATTAAGGAGTTGAAGGGTTGGCCCCTAATTATATCTTTTGCTTATAGCTCAAAAACGAAAAAGAATTTCTGAATAGTTGTTGAACACAAAATGTTCAAAATCTTAAGATCTTTAAGATGAGATCCCGAAAAAGGGGCTGGGCACTCGAATTAGGGGCCAAGAGGGGCCAAAAGTCTTCAATCGATAACTCTTTATCAGTTAATATTTTGTAATACATTACTGAAGCAAAGATGTTTATCTCAACCATCTTCATCTAAATATTATGATTTTTATGTCGTATGTTGCATAATTAGGGGCCACAAGGGGCCAGAATGCTAAATCTTTGATGCTTTATATCTCGAAAGGGAGAAATATTTTGATAAGCAATATTGAACAAAAGATGTTCAAAATAATGTTCTGATCAGTATGCAACCTTTCATTTTTTGCTAAACGGCCCCATTAAGGAGTTGAAGGGTTGGCCCCTAGATATTTCTTTTGCTAATAGCTCAAAAACGAAAAAGAATTTCTGAATAGTTGTTGAACACAAAATGTTCAAAATCTTAAGATCTTTAAGAAGAGATCCCTAAAAAGGGGCTGGACACTCGAATTAGGGGCCAAGAGGGGCCAAAAGTCTTCAATCGATAACTCTTTATCAGTTGATATTTTGTAATACATTACTGAAGCAAAGATGTTTATCTCAACCATCTACAACTATATATTATGGTTTTTATGTCGTATGGTACATAATTAGGGGCCACAAGGGGCCAGAATGCTAAATCTTTGATGCTTTATATCTCGAAAGGGAGAAATATTTTGATAAGCAATATTGAACAAAAGTTGTTCAAAATAATGTTCTGATCAGTATGCAACCTTTCATTTTTTGCTAAACGTCCCCATTAAGGAGTTGAAGGGTTGGCCCCTAAATATTTCTTTTGCTAATAGCTCAATAACGAAAAAGAATTTCTGAACAATTGTTGAACACAAAATGTTCAAAATCTTAAGATCTTTAAGATGAGATCCCGAAAAAGGGGCTGGGCACTCGAATTAGGGGCCAAGAGGGGCCAAAAGTCTTCAATCGATAACTCTTTATCAGTTAATATTTTGTAATACATTACTGAAGCAAAGATGTTCATCTCAACCATCTACAACTATATATTATAATTTTCATGTCGCATGGTACATAATTAGGGGCCAAAAGGGGCCAGAATGCTAAATCTTTGATGCTTTATATCTCGAAAGGGAGAAATATTTTGATAAGCAATATTTGACAAAAGTTGTTCAAAATAATGTTCTGAACAGTATGCAACCTTTCATTTTTTGCTAAACGCCCCCATTAAGGAGTTGAAGGGTTGGCCCCTAATTATATCTTTTGCTTATAGCTCAAAAACGAAAAAGAATTTCTGAATAGTTGTTGAACACAAAATGTTCAAAATCTTAAGATCTTTAAGAAGAGATCCCTAAAAAGGGGCTGGGCACTCGAATTAGGGGCCAAGAGGGGCCAAAAGTCTTCAATCGATAACTCTTTATCAGTTGATATTTTGTAATACATTACTGAAGCAAAGATGTTTATCTCAACTATCTACAACTATATATTATGGTTTTTATGTCGTATGGTACATAATTAGGGGCCACAAGGGGCCAGAATGCTAAATCGTTGATGCTTTATATCTCGAAAGGGAGAAATATTTTGATAAGCAATATTGAACAAAAGATGTTCAAAATAATGTTCTGATCAGTATGCAACCTTTCATTTTTTGCTAAACGTCCCCATTAAGGAGTTGAAGGGTTGGCCCCTAAATATTTCTTTTGCTAATAGCTCAAAAACGAAAAAGAATTTCTGAACAATTGTTGAACACAAAATGTTCAAAATCTTAAGATCTTTAAGATGAGATCCCGAAAAATTGGCTGGGCACTCGAATTAGGGGCCAAGAGGGGCCAAAAGTCTTCAATCGATAACTCTTTATCAGTTAATATTTTGTAATACATTACTGAAGCAAAGATGTTTATCTCAACCATCTACAACTATATATTATGGTTTTTATGTCGTATGGTACATAATTAGGGGCCATAAGGGGCCAGAATGCTAAATCTTTGATGCTTTATATCTCGAAAGGGAGAAATATTTTGATAAGCAATATTGAACAAAAGTTGTTCAAAATAATGTTCTGATCAGTATGCAACCTTTCATTTTTTGCTAAACGTCCCCATTAAGGAGTTGAAGGGTTGGCCCCTAAATATTTCTTTTGCTAATAGCTCAAAAACGAAAAAGAATTTCTGAACAGTTGTTGAACACAAAATGTTCAAAATCTTAAGATCTTTAAGAAGAGATCCCGAAAAAGGGACTGGGCACTCGAATTAGGGGCCAAGAGGGGCCAAAAGTCTTCAATCGATAACTCTTTATCAGTTAATATTTTGTAATACATTACTGAAGCAAAGATGTTTATCTCAACCATCTACAACTATATATTATGGTTTTTATGTCGTATGGTACATAATTAGGGGCCATAAGGGGCCAGAATGCTAAATCTTTGATGCTTTATATCTCGAAAGGGAGAAATATTTTGATAAGCAGCATTGAACAAATGATATTCAAAATAATGTTCTGAACAGTATGCAACCTTTCATTTTTTGCTTAACGTCCCCATTAAGGAGTTGAAGGGTTGGCCCCTAAATATTTCTTTTGCTAATAGCTCAAAAACGAAAAAGAATTTCTGAATAATTGTTGAACACAAAATGTTCAAAATCTTAAGATCTTTATGATGATATGAATAAAAAGGGCTGATTCCTAAAATTAGGGGCCGTTAGGGGCAAAAGGCCGATTTTTTTAAGTCTTTAATGTTCAATGTCTTTTTACAGATTGTGGTAAATCATTATTTTAGAGTGGAAATCGCAATCAAAATCTTATCTCATCTCATCAAGAATTGGACGGAAGACCCACTCGTTGCTCGCAACGAGATCGTATCTAGTTTATTTACTAATTTGATTAAGTTATAGACGAGATATAATTAAAGAGAATTGGCAGGTAAAAATGTTTTTGGATAAAGCTTTGATCCCCAGTCACTTCTAAAACATATATAAGGAAGAATACTTCAGAACAGTAGATATTAAAATGTGTGAAACCAGATAATTAGCAATAAATTGTTTTTGTTTTGCTTTATAGGTGACGTCACTGTTTATTGCTGGAGTACTCCTACTATATATAGTACCAATCAATACTATCCTAGTTCCTCACAGTATTAACCTCAGTATCCGTCCTGTTCGCCCTGATTGTTCTGTTCCAGAACGTAAGTCGTCATATATAAGAAATTTAGAGTTAATCTGTCTGTACTGTAGCAAAAACAATCTACACAGTCTTGTATAGAATTGCATTTGTAAGTCGTGCCAAATCAGAAACAATGCCTGAAACACCCTATGAGGGTGGAGTGTCCTTGCAACTGATAAATACTCCATTTCGTCCATACGAAAAGTACAGTTTGTAACCAGATTAGATTTACCCAGTGATAGCTTGATTATTTCACCGAACGTATATACATGCACTAGGTAAATTGTATAATTTAAAAAATTCGAAACTAAGTTCTTTTTTATTTCTTTTTAATAGCTGGGACAAAGCCGTTCTTCTTTGGAACCAACAACCTAGCCTGTATGTTTCTGACATCTTTTGGGAAACATCGCAGGAAGCGGTCCCTGAAGATTCCCGTCCACAGCATTGTACATAGCTTTATATTCTATGACGGCTGGTTCGCTGAATTCGGTACCAAGGAGACAACGTTACGCACACACACTCCCAGATACCCACATTGTGGACCTAAACTCAATTTAAAGCCCGCAGGGTACTCCAGGTTGCCTTTTGACTGTCTTCGAAGATGTGCCTCTAAATACCATCTTGCCTTTGGAAAATACCATCTCTTTAAAAACAATTGTCATTATTTTTCAAATCGAATGATGAATATATTGTGTCATGAAGTGACTTGTCCTCTGTGGTGCTTATGACTGCTTAAAATGTTATCGGAATATAAATTAGTAGGAAGAAGTACTTCATTTGCTTATTTTTCTGAAAAAAACGATTTTTTTCTATATTAAAAAGAATACAACTGTAGTATACCACAAAAAAAGTATCTATAATTTTCTTTAAACTTTCTTTATACTAGTGTTACGGCCTAAAAGAATTCGAATGTTTTATTAAAAATAAATCAATGGACATATATTATTTAAAACCATTAATTTTGAAAAAAGTCATAATTGAATGAAGACAGCTCTAAGATTAAATAATTAAGACAGTTCGTGTAGTCTAAAGTGAGTCCGGGATAATTTACTAGCAGAGACACATTCATCATATACTCTATTTGCACATGCCGATAAACATGTTTATCAACATAATACAGTTTTGAGGAAGGAAAAGTTACATGGAGAGAACAAAATGATCTTGAAAAATGTTAATTAGAGTTCTGATATGGGCGTGGTGCAAAACAATAAAAACAACTGTAGGTATTGGAAAATCCAGTAATTCATCCTAAATGTACTTGTAGGCTACACGTAAATAAATCATTGCAGGTCAAGTGTTAATCATAGTGACTTGGTTATGCTTTTGGAACTTAAAATGCTAAACAAAAACAATTTAACATTATGACTAGGCAATTAGTGTTACACTTTTTCTCACAAGGAAAATGTTTCGCAAAACAGACACGGTTCTTGAGTTTGAAATTTTATTTAAACATAATTGGCCATACATTTTCGAGTCTTCTGACTTTTTAAAAAAAAAATATTTAATAAAAGCAAATCAAATTAAATACAGTTTAATTTTAGAGATATATAGTGTATACATATTTTTACAAAAGCTTTGTATTTCTACAAGTGAACAGTTGTATAGAATAATAGAAAAAAAAATTTCCAACATATTATGTCAATTTGTCAAAGAGATTAGACAAAGTTCAATACACTTAGATTGTCTTTCCAAAAGAATAACATAATTTAAACAAAAATGAAAAATAAATAAAATGACTACAATAACTTTAAAATTTTCAAAAAGAATCATTGTAAAATATTTCATAACTAATCAGTGCAGGACCCTAATCAAATCAAAAAGCTTATGTACGGTTATTAAGCTGGTTTGTTGAAGCGCCCAATAAACAATACAGTTCCAGTGGAATTTTCTCTGATGAGGAACAAGAAGGGGTGGTCCGCCTTAAACACCATTGGTTCCATTGGCATGCACATCAACCTCATCATAACAGCCGTGGCAGCGGCAGCCTCTGTGCCTTCTTCGTTGACTTCAACAAATGCTTTATGAATGACGTCAGAAACAAAAGTGCCCTCTGGCGGCTTATCCATCATGGCGCTGAAGTCGGCTTTAGTAGAGAAAATGTCGGTGATGCCCATTCCTGCAAGAACTTTATCAAGCTCAAACGAACTCTCAAGTTTGAATTTTGGAATGGAAACGATTACATCCTCTCGAAAAAATTCTTTTGTAAGTTCTTTATATGTTTCCGAGGTGAGGCTTGATTCTAATTTGGATAGCCCATCTATTTTGTTTGGAAGAATTATGAGCATGCTCAATTCCTCTCCTTTGTAAGGAAGATTCAACATTTTGCAGTCAAGGGACTCAGAAACACTATACAGCCATTTTTTCTTCTCCATATGCATCATATCAACCATTTCCGTCTCTGTCTCGGAAATGTGAAATTTTTCTGATTTTGTTTTTGATGATTGAAATGCATTTTCCCAATTGCCTTTAAAGTAAATTGCATTTGTCAGGACAATCAAAGACAAGGCATTAATACCTCCTGCCGGAATCAGATCCTTTATTTTATTATTAGTCTGTTCTTCAACCCACGAGTTTATTCTGGTTCTAGACCCCTCCGGATTTCCTACAAAATCTAAGAGTTCCATCTCGCTGTTGTAATACTCTAACGATTCCTTCTTGTAAACGTCTCTGATATCCAGTCCAAGTTTGGAAAATATTCGGTTTGCAATGGCCAACTTAGCCCCTTCTTTAGATTTTCCCGTCAGAGTGGAATGTAGTTCCTTGTACGCCTTGTGTGGATCAGGAATTCCGGAGAGACCCAAAACCTGTTTGATTTGAGCCTCAGATTCCCCTTTGGTGCCCAGCATGGTTAACATTATGGCGGCTGACACGCTGTACGGAGACAGGAATAAATTGCCACTCCCCTCCGACAAAACTTTGTACAGCCTTAAAGAAAAGTCTGTAACAGCACCCTCCATTCTTTCAAAAGCGAAACAAACGAAAGCTCTATGCTGAGAAATCTTATGCGCAGTTTGTCTTGCACACCTTCCGTCGTTCAATCCTCTTTCCCTTCTGTGATATTTATGAAAAGGAAGGAAACTGCTCGTGAGAATTCACATAAATATTACGTCTTCTCTGCTTGCCACTTTTATAGAACGTAATAATTCAGAGCTAAAATCTAACAAAAGTTAATTTTTGAATGCACATTCTGTCCACCTGGCCCTGTAATAAATCCTTGTTTACTACCGTCATAAAACGAAAGCTGTTTGTTTACGTCGATAGACATGTGACATGTGATGGGGGCTCACAACGGGTTGTTCTATATGTTTAATTCGATTAGTATATCTGATGGTTTGCGTGCTTAATTTTTGATAAATTAACTGTGAAAAAATGGACATGGAATTATTTTTAGAAATATATATTTCATGTAAAATATTTTCAAAGCTGCTAAAATCAATTCTCGAGTTTTTGCTATTTTCCTTATCCTTTTTGTATGTGCAATGATTATTACGCCTTAAATTCTTAATATTTTATATTTTTTAAAAGACATATTCCATTTTTATAAATGTACGCGACACGGTGCAAACATATTATTTCATGAAAGAAAGTCCGGCGAGTTTCTCAAGTGTACTTTTAGGCTGCAATTAGATTTAAAAATTATTTATAATGACACTCATGGAAGGTATATGTATTGAAAGCGGGTTAGAAAAAGAAATCCGAAAATTTTACAAATTTTGAATTATTCTCCGGAAAACAGAGGTAGGATAATAGATCTTTCAACTTATTTTCTGGGAAGGACCAGAATTTTAAAACATCCTTCGCGCAAAATATAATGAGTATGAAATAAATAAATGAAAACATAACTAAAAAGCAATCTGATAGAAAAATTAATTGAAATATATAATTTAAAAAGTAATTTTCAAAAGTAAGATTTTTTATTTATGATTAAACTCTTAAAACATTTAAGAAGTACATGTACAATGAATTTATAATAAATTGCAAAAAAAAAAAAATAAATTTGTTTGTTCCTCCTTGATGGAAATCCTACATCCATGTAAATAAAAAAAGTTAAATAAATAAAATACAATGTACTCACTATCGGAATAAATAAATTACTAAATAATTAAACAAATAATAAATATTTAAACAAATAAGTAAGTATTTTTTCATTTGGTCTCTAAAAGTTAGTATTGTATTAACTTCTTTCATTTTTCTTGATTCAGAGAAAAAGTTAAAACAAAGTCGATGAAATGTTAAAATCACATTTTAAAACTATATCACTGTAAATGCATTCTGTTCATTTTCTTATCTTATACAGTGGACCTATATTTTTATATACGATTTTTCATCGGAACGAAAATTTAAAATGTTATTCTGTCTTGTTTAACTGGTGATTCAGATATCCGGAATCCGGACAAATTGACTGGGAACCAAAGCGTCCGGATAAATGAGGGTCCACTGTATTTTTATATAGTGGACATAATGTAAATAAATAAATAACTTACAAAAAAATGTATTTCATTAAATGAACGAATAAATATTGTTTCAGTTGGTCTCATCGATATTTTTAAATTCTAAATCCTTTAATATTTCTTGTTTCTGAGTAATAGTTAAAACAAACACATAGTCTGCGAAGAAGAGTTAAAACAAATTTATAAAACCACATAGATGTCAGTGCATTGTGTTCATTTTTTGATATAATGAAAAAAAGCATTTTAACTCTGGTGAAAAAGACATTTAAAATTATCAAAGGAGGGAAGCAAGTCAGAATAAAACAATCTTTCAAAATAAATTTCCAAAGATTTGTATGCAGCAATGTGCTTTTTTATGAATACTGTTCATAAATCACAAATAAGCACGACGCATTTTGCGAATATATGTAGCGCTGATTAATGATTACACCAATCAATCAATATCTCGTGATGGCGTTAAATTTTGAATTTGTCAATTTACATGTATGTATATGTACTAGCATTTTGCTTTAGGACGACAGTCAAGATAAAGTTAATGTGTTTGTAAATTGATCATAAAAATTTAGTATTTGTTTGTCCATGAATCCAACAAAAAATATCAGGCATAATATTTATTTAATCTAGACTCACGTTTGGAATAAAATTAAAAATCTGTACAAATGACTTATTTAAAAGGGAAATTAGATCTAGCTTAATTTTTTTAGTTTGTCATGCAGATTGATGTTCAGAAATATTTTTCAAGGGTTAAACCCTTCAACAAAAAAGTAGGTTTAAACGTTGATCACGAAATTCATTATTTAGGCCACACCAATTTAATTTCTTGTTCATCGGACATTTAATGAAAAAAGTACGAGCGGGCTAGCAGTTAAATAATGATATTATAAATTACTTTATTGTAGGAAAACTTTTTAGGCTGGGCGTGAAAAAAATTGAGCGGATATTTATATTTTTTCTAATTTGCAGAGTAAGTAGATTAAAAGTACCATAAATAGAGCGGAAATTGAACAGAAAACAGCACAGAATTCCCATGGGGCAGGGATTTTGAATTAATATTATTTGTAAAGTTTTGTTTAAATACGAGCGCGCGGGTCCGACGAAGAAAATTTTTAATTGGTGTGGCCTTACGGAGATATATTTTCTCTTGCCTATGCAATGAAGTTGCATTACCTCCGCGTGTTATCATAAAATAAAATAAAATATCATACAATTTGTCCTGAACATTTTAAAGAAAAAGAATCTGTGGATAATTTAGTATTAAAATAATAACCTTACACCAAAAAAATTAAAATTTCATTATAATGACAAGTTGTAGTTGAAACCGAAATTATAATGTCCTTAACAGAAGTTGTGAATCATGACAAAGTAAGCCGATTGTACACTTTTTGTAAAGAATTCATTATTATCAGAAACAGGAAGGAGTGATCCATCCTCCTAGAAACAACTTGTGTTTGTAGTTTACCTCTTCTTCCTTTAATCTTTATCCTAAAAACCTTATCCCCAGTAGCGGCCATGCTTTCTTTGGAAATTCAAAGAACGCTTTGTGAATGATTTCAGATACGAAAGTACCACTGGCGAATTATAATCCATTATGGCGCTGAAGTTGGCTCTTTATAACTATGAAAAACTCCTAGGTTAAATTTGGAAAAGAGACAACAACGTTCTCTCTGTGAAATTACTGACATTCATATCTAGACTTTCTAAATAAATACTTGACATTATTTATTTTCTTAAATAGAAAAAAAACTTCGTTTCTTAATAATTAACATGAGATATGGGTTATTATTTTTTTACGAGAAAAATATCAGTAGGGTACCTTTGGTTAACCAGATATTTACCACTGAGCTTGAAATAAAATGTACCACAGAGTTTGATACATGTATTTCGTATTTGGATATTTAACCAGGAGAATGCTTAAATAGTAGCCTAACAACCAAGCTACATGATAATTGCAATCATCTACTTCCTTGCTTATGTGGCAAAATTTACATTTCCGTTTATTTTTCTTTAACATTCCCTACAAATTAGAATTTTGTTCATTTTCTCATGAACTACCATGGATGAGCATGAATATCTACATAGCACGTCATAATACCGTACCTGACGTCAAAACTATAGGCTTAACTGTTTTGCTTTAAAAAAAAAACGACAATTGAATGGCGTAATTTGTGGTAACTCATCAGAAAATAATGTAAATTTAAGTAATGAATCTAACTCGCTTCATAAAATATGCCGGCGTGAAGTGTCGTAGTTCATGTCCTCTTGAATCCTCAAAAATTAAATTAATATCTTAAATATATCGTTATCACCTCTATTTTGAGTTAATGTCTCACAGTCGTTTCGCAAAAACATGGCTACGTATGAACATTTTTATATCAAAAAAGAGGCAAGCAACTGACAAACAAGTTGTTTTAAAACAGCCTTGTTTGAAGTCACCATTTTGCAAGATTTTTGGTTATATGATGACACTGTCAGCATAAACAGCCTATCATTGAGTTAAATGTTGACTAACTTTTTCCATTTTTCCATTGGCAGTCCATTTTTACGGAATTGTCTACATCTTATTTTTACCGATCATGACAAGGAGCACAAGGCGGATGGGATCGGTTGGTATTCGATACTTGTATATTATAGAAACGTCACTTTAATTTCTAACTTTGCAGTGCTAACATATATTGTGTGAGAAACCATCCATTTTGACTTATAGTGGATTGCTTTCATGAGATTTTGTAAAGAAAGTGTTTTTATAAATTACAATTAAATAACGTACATAATTCAACAATAAGATGAGCTGATTTTACTTTTTTATACTAAATAAACAATTCATAGAAATGAAAATACATTTAAAACATGAATTTATTTTGTTAGATTATAGGTTTAGAGAAACGACCTATAAACAATATTGTTCCGGTCGAATTTTCTCTGATTAGAAACACGAATGGGTGATCCGCTTTAAAAATCATAGGTTGTAAAGGCATCATACCCCCTCCCATCATCATACAAGCGGTAGCTGCGGCAGCCTCCGTGCCTTTTTCATTCACTTCAACGTACGCTTTGTGGAAGAAGTCAGATAAAAATGTGGGCGCTGGTGGATCATCCATCATGGCGCTAAAGTTGGCTTTTTCAGAAAAAATGTTGGTGTTACCTATTCTGCTAAGAACTTGGTTTAATTGAAAGGAACTCTCCAGTGTAAATTTTGGAATCGAGACAATAACGTCTTCTCGGGTAGTTTTCTTTGTCAGTTCATGAAGAGTTCCAGAGGAAAGTTTAGATTCTAATTTGGATAGCCCGTCTATTTTATTTGGAAGAATTATGACTATGCTCATTTCCTCCCCTTTGTAAGGAAGATTCAACATTTTGCAGTCTAGGGATTCCGAAATACTGATTAACCATTTCTTCATTTCCATATGCATCATTTCAACCATTCCTGATTCTGTCTCGGATATGTGAAAATTTTTACGCTTAGTTCTTAATAACTGGAATGGAATTTTCCAGTCGCCTTTAAGGTAGAACCTATTTCGGAAAAGTCTTTGTCACAAGATTTTCAAACTTATCAAAATAATAAATTAGCACTCGCTTATCAATCAGTCAAAAGCACATGACATGTTTCCTTGTTTTTAAATGTACTGCAGTCTGTGAAACGTGGAATGGTAATTATATACTGCGGCTACACATTTTAAGTCATTTTAGGGGTACTTGTCATAAAGAGAATATGAAAAATCTCAAAAATACTTATTTAAACATCGTCGTTTGTTGACTTAATTAACGGAACAGTATGAAACAGTATTTCTCAATAACTAAATTCTTTTTTATTCCATCGACATAAAAGATTAGCCCACATTTAAGAAAAAATAGGCAAATGAACTTTATTATTTTTTTTCAATTTTCGACCCTAAATTTGTTAATATCTTTCAGAAGTCTTTGTCACAATGTTTTCAAACTTTAATATGATGAAGAACATACCCAAATGATTACAAAAGGTGATCAAAATATATACCTTTCGCCTCTAACTAATGAGAGATAGGTAGTTTGCCGATGCTAATATTCTTGACCTTTTTGCACTTACAAGGGATTTAATTATTGAATGACTGTTTGGGTTACTTTCAGATTAAAATGTTTATGTAAAATTGTACTTACTATTTACAAAGATCAGATTTAATAGAAAAATTTTAATCAAAGACCAAGAATATGAATAAGTAAAAAATAATTATGAAAAGGAATGCACATCATTTCATGATAGATATCACAAAAAATGTACACACAATCTACAACACGTACATCTTTGACTTAGACACATTTCCTCAAGATATTACCCTATTTATTTAGCAACTGAAGATATCTAAAGACTTTTGCATTCCTGCAAAATATTTAAAATGTACATACCATTCACATTTTTACAGTAGGTTGTATACAATGCACATTGTAATTTCATAACACAAGATAATCTTGGATTTGTCAACTCTATTAAGGCCAAGATCTAGTAAGTGAAAGGTGCCCACAGGTTTCTCTAATTCCAGAAATATATTGGTATTAAGCATTTTAACCAAAAAATATATAAATTGAATTAAGTATATCAGCATGATTTTAAAATAAATTCTGTTATTTTCAAAATGCAGTATTTTTCTACCATTTCTATTGAAGCTGTAAAGTACGGGAAAAAGTGACATTGAATCATTTATGACGTCATAACGGATCTAGAACAGGCTAAACACATTCACTAGTTATGATGTCATACGACGTAGGTTCTACGTTAACGTAAATTGCATTTGTTAAGATTATCAGAGACAGGGGTTTAATCCCCCTACCGGGATCAAATCCTTGATTTTATTATTAGTTTGTTCTTCAACCCACGCGTTGATTCTCGCCATGGACCCTTGCGGGTTTCCCACAAAATCTAACAGCTCAATATCACTGCCATAAAACTTTAAGGAATCCCTCATGTAAACCTCCCTAATATTCTGTCCGAGTTTAGAAAATATACGGTTTACAATAAGAAAATTGGCCCCTTCTTCAGATTTTCCCATCAGAGTAGAGTGTAGTTCTTTGTAAGCCTTGTGGGGATCAGGAATTCCGGGAAGACCCAAAACTTGTTTAATTTAAGCCTCAGATTCCCCTTTGGTGCCCAGCATTGTTAACATTAAGGCGGCGGACACGCTGTACGGACACAGGAATAAATTTTATTTTCTCCCTCGTAAACTCATCCGAAAATAAATCTTTTCTTGACTAATTTGAAAAACAACAACAAATAGTTTAGATTAGGTGCGTTCGTTACAAGATCGCATTTATAATCAACAATCAACTTTTAATGACTTAATATATAACACAATTTATATTAATTGACACAAACATCGACAAAAACATGACTGTACATGTATATAATGATTAAATACAATGCATTGCATAGTTCTTAGAGCGGGGATGGGAAGGGAAATGTATGTCCTTGAGATCTTGTAACGAACTTCGCAATAGCCAAAATCACACCTGGGACACTATTTATAGTAAGCGCCAAATCACTCGTGCATGCAAAAATTACTATGAATAGATCGGACATTTCCGTAATACGAAACTCAAAAACGTAAAGAAATTCATATCATTCCCCTTAGACAAAATTTTGTACAACTTAAAAGAAAAGTCTGTAACGGCATCCTCCACTGTTAATACTCTCCAGCATGAGCCAGCAAGAAAAAAATTCAATATAAAGACAAAGTTTCACTATAACTAGCCATCTTTTATACATGTATTTGACAAAAATCCTTTGCCTGCACTCACTCAAGCATTCGTTTTAATCCTACACTTACATATTGACCAGCTGTAGTATTTCTGGTTAGCTGTCCTTTTAATAATGTAGAATGTTACGCATAGTCCAGTGTGTATGTATAGTTACTGAGGTTCACCACGGGTTAAAAAATATTGCAGTTGAGAGGGCTTTAAACGGCGCGTATTTTTTTTTAAATAAATGATAACAGTAAGTGTGTGTTTATATGAGAGTGTGTGTGAGGGTGTGTTTGTACATGCTTACTAACTCTTATCCATGGGAGGGTGGCGGTCTTATGTTAATTTGCCGAGCAAAAATAGACAAAGGTTTTCTGTTTTAAAAATGTACCCTTCTTCATGGATATCATATGTTTTGAATATTGTATTTGGCACCCATATTTCACTTGATTTTTTTAACTTGATCGAAATTTTCACTCATCTCATCCAATTTCAAATAATTTAATTTTAGTTGTAATATGTCATTTTATTGGGTAAAAGATTTAATCCATTTTGTATAAATAACTTTCCTACGTCACGATGAGTAATACTCCGCTTGACGTTACTTTTTTAAAATATGCTGAATTTGAAGCCTTTTCCTGGAGGAAAAAAATATTGATATTGTCTCATTGTAAACACTGCAATAACATTATAAGGAATAAAACTTATTACTACTTATGTTATACGATATAACGTAACTTGGGGCAGTTTACGCTTTTTTAAATCTAAAAATATGTCGAGAAGAAGTGCACGTATGTGTGATTTACACACAAATAATTCTCACTAAACTTAAAAAACATTACTTTAACTATTTACATGTTTGAAATCACAAAAATATACTGTGATTTCATCAATTTTTGTTGGCGTCAATTTTTTTTGGATTTTGTAAGTAGCAAATTTAAGGTTACTTTAAGATTACAGTAAGGAAGCGCGGGTCTAATTGATAAAGGAAATGTTCATTATGACGTCACACAAAATATAAGGTCTTAAAAATATCACAAAATTATTTGCTATTTAAACTGCTGATGAATATAGACGTAGACTCCATAAAACTTACTATGTGTTAAATCCCACACAACAATATATAAACGATGCATCGATCGCAATGCACTTGTCAATACGATGACATCTCGCTTAAGTTGACGTAGCTTGTACACTACGAGAGGCAGATCCAGTTACATTTTGTACAATGAAAAATGTCTTTTGTTCTCAAATAAAATATTGTTAAGCATTAACATATTTGAAAAGTGCTGAAAACCTGATGAAATCTTGCAAATAAATTAAATGTGGCTATATCTAGTGTAGTTGACCAGCAAAATATTCAACCTGCCGTCCAACAAATTAAATTTTTGCAATTAAAAAATGGAATCTGTAGATGTTCGCAGCACCTTTCACCAACTACATATAGCGTTAAAAATGATTATGAATTCAACTAAATTTTCTTATTTAGTTATGCCTTTGCAGTATTGGAATGTATAGCTGACATCTAATCTGCAAGTATAATTGCTAAAATCATGTGACTTCGACATCACGTGACAAAATCTAAATGTCCTCAAAATGTAGATTTGAACCACATTACATTTTTTGGACATAAGTTCTAAAAAGAATCACCCATCCTTATAAAGTATGTATTTTTATTTTTAAAAAAATCATCGATTTACATTGGATTTATAACTTTAACTTTACTGTGTAAAACAGACGTTTTCGGGGATAGGACAAAAGCATTGCCTACACTTATAAATAACATTTCTTCAATCAATGAACAATGAATTTCTAGGATCTGTTCAACAACGAAATCCTCGAAAATTGGTGCTCAACAAATATTAATAACCACAGTACTCAATATTTGAATTTCTTGCGACCATATTTTGTTGAATTCGTACCAACGTCGATGTAGCCTAATTGTGACGTCATGTCAGAGCGAGTTTCTCTGTGTACTGTATATTTCTACGCGTGTGTATACAAAGAAATGGTATTCAAATCATTTTCACAGTTGGCTTAGTAGAAAAAAAAAACAACGAATGTAAATATAATGCATAAATAAGGATATTAAGCTGGTTTGGTGAAGCGTCCAATAAACAACACAGTTCCAGTTGAATTTTCTCTGATGAGGAACAAGAAGGGGTGGTCCGCTTTAAACACCATTGGCTTCATTGGCATGCAATTCATCATCATTATAACAGCCGTGGCAGCGGCAGCCTCTGTGCCTTCTTCATTGACTTCAACGAATGCTTTATGAAGGACGTCAGAAACAAAAGTGTCCCTTGGCGGATTCTCCATCATGGCGCTAAAGTCGGCTTTAGTAGAGAAAATGTCGGTGACACCCATTCCAGCAAGAACTTTGTCAAGCTCAAACGAACTCTCAAGTTTGAATTTTGGAATGGATACTATTACATCTTCTCGAAAAAATCCGTTTGTTAGTTCTTGGAATGTTTCCATCGTGAGACTCGATTCTAATTTGGATAGCCCGTCTATTTTGTTTGGAAGAAGTATGAGCATGCTCAGTTCCTCTCCCTTATAGGGAAGATTCAACACTTTGCAGTCTAAGGATACAGAAACACTATACAGCCATTCTTTCTTTTCCATATGCATCATATCAACCATTTCAGTTTCTGTCTCAGAAATGTAAAATTTTTCAGATTTTGTTTTTGATGATTGAAATGCATTTTCCCAATTGCCTTTAAAGTAAATTGCATTTGTCAGTACAATCAAAGACAGGGCATTAATTCCTCCTTCAAGGATCAGATCTTTGATTTTATTATTAGTCTGTTCTTCAACCCACGTGTTTATTCTGGTTCTTGACCCCTCCGGATTTCCTACAAAGTCTAACAGTTCCATCTCACTGTTGTAATACTCTAACGATTCCTTCTTGTAAACATCCCTAATATCCAATCCAAGTTTGGAAAATATTCGGTTCGCAATGGCCAGCTTAGCCCCTTCTTTAGATTTCCCCGTCAGATTAGAATGTAGCTCTTTGTAAGCCTTGTGTGGATCAGGAATTCCAGAGAGACCCAAAACCTGTTTAATTTGAGCCTCAGATTCCCCTTTGGTGCCCAGCATGGTTAACATTAAGGCGGCAGACACGCTGTAAGGAGACAGGAATAAATTGCCATGCCTCTCCGACAAAACTCTGTATAGCGATAAAGAAAAGTCTGTAACGGCATCCTCCATTGTTAAATATTATACAAGTAAATGAGCCAGGAAGAACAAGAACTAAATAGACAACGTTTGACTATAACCAGCTATTTTCTATATGAAACAAAAACTTCATGAATGCACTAAGTCAGGCATTCATGTTAATCCGTACAATGCACTTTCATTCTGGTTAGTTGAAAGGCCTACTTTTAATAATGTTTACACATCACCCAATGTTTATATATAGTCACCGGGGTTCACCACGGGGTATTTTGTTTTACAATATGTATAAACATTATGTGTATGTTTTATGAAGGGTATGTGAGGGTGTATGTACATGTTTATTAACTCTCATCCAGAGGAGGGTGACGGTCCTATGTATATTTGCCGAGCCAAAAATAGACAGATTTGTTTAAAATTTTGTTTAAAAATGTAAAACTCTTTATGGATAAAACATATACTCACAGTCGATAGAAACGCAACACCCTAATTTTAGGATGAAAATTATATACGGTTTATAACTATGTACCAAAAAAGTTAGGACATCTTTTACTTTGCCAAATCAGTTATTTAACGGTTGAATGAATTTCTTTTCATTATCGGAAATTGCTTTTTAGCCCTCTTAACAGAATTCAAAATTTTGCATGTAAAATAAAAAAATGAACTGTTCTTATTATATTTTTAGAACGAGGAAGGGTTTCTCACCCAAAATTATGAATTTCTTGGCATCTTCAACCGGACTTCTAGTATTAAAGTGAAATTATTTTGAATATCTAGTGAAAATGCATGAATGGTTTGAAGATCTACTTTTTTTCTAGACATCTGCAGGCAAATAATTAAGATACAAAACTGTAGTGAAGGGGGGGGGGCAACCTTTTTTTTCGCAACAATATTTTTTTTTCATACATTATCATATTATATGTAATCTTATTTGGCTGAGACTTTGCGTCTCTATGAAGTATGTATGTTATGTAAATTAAATCATACACAATGTAAAAGATACATTTTTACATGGTAAAAGAAACATTCATTGAAAATGGATACTAAATTGTACAGATAGGTTTGCAAGCATAACATTCCATGGTTCCATTACTAAAACTCAATATTCGTTAAACATATTAAAGGAATGAAATTTACAACAAAATAGAAATGTGCTACAGGTATAAATCACTAACCAGTTGTATTTTATTTAATTTCTTTCTATCATAGTTCTGTCTTCAAAATTATTTTAATTTACAGTAAGAGTGGTAGTGAAGAGACAAATAAGTAACCGGTCCAATTGCAATTTTCTGAATATATCATCATTTTTCTTAAGGGATACAATATAAAACTATACAGTCATTTAGGGTATTCGAATCACTTAATTGTTTGGTATAAAAGGAAAGCAAATTGTATTAAAAATCAGATCTTCTTTGTAGGGTGTTTATCCTCGATACAGCGCCCTTGACGGTATTTTTATTAACATCACCTATTTAGTGTATTGTGAGTCACTTCTGCGTATTTTGAATTACCGGGTAACTGGGCTAACACGGTCATATACTGGTAACAACATTATAATTGATTAACCAGTTAGTTTTGTTTGCCAAAAAGGCTTCAAAATTTAAAAAAAAATTCGTTGATTGTTTTGTTTATTTGAAAGTTATTAAAGCCCGCCTCTATATAGCTGCACTTTAAAACAGCACAGATCATGCAGAAACAGCAATTTTTACCAACAAAATTTGGGTTTCTGGAATTACTTGACAGTAAATTGTATAGTCCTTCAAATGAAATCATATCACTTTTTGCCCCTGTGATTTTTTTTAATGCGAAAGAATTAAAAACTTTGATGACTTCTGACAGCTATTCAATCTCTAAATCTTCTTTTTTGTGTACCAAAATCCCGCTATCACCTGCATCTGGAGTTTACCATTCTAAACGTAATCGATACTCAATAGCATGCGCCGATGGAATTATACGAGGGTTGATCCAAAAGTAATGTCACAACTTTGATAAAATCGCTATAAATCGACGTAAAGCAACAAAATTATACATGATGAAAGCTTTATTTATTTCAAATCAGACCTGAAAAAATCAAAGGAATATGATGTATACTTTTCAAAATATCGGATTTTAAGCAGTGCAGGTTTATGGTAGTCGCCGCACCTAAATAAAAACGTCAAATGACGGATACACACCGTCATACTTTTAAGCGTTTCCCCTTCTTTTCATTAAAAATTATTTGTGATTCGCGAACACTTTTACCAATTCCACTTTCTTCAAGAATTCTTGGTACCATTATACACTCACTTTTTTCATTATTAAGCCCTCTGTCAAAATTTTGTGAACAGTAGCATCAGACAAACTTAAAAATTCACATGTCGCTCTATACGTCTGTGTTTTTTGACAACGTCAGACACCATTGAACGTTTCCGTCCGATCTCCTATTTTTTTGTCTTCTTGTCCTTTGCTAGTCATTCGGTGACCAATCGCCCGCCCAAAATTGCTGAAACCATCTTTTAAGATGTCTCTTATTTACACTCTTTATTCTGTAAGTCTGATTGATTAACGAAAATGTCCCTATTGATGATTCCCATATTTTGAAGCAAAAATGCATTACAACTCGTCAGGCGTTTTCCCCCATTTCGACAATTCCTTTGTTCAATTCAACGGAGTAAAACAACAATGTTTATGATCACAAATACCAATGACGTCATTTAATTTTCAATTAAAGACTAGAAAATGACGAGAATTGTGTCTTTAAAAAAATTGGGAGATTAGGTGCTTTTTTAGAATCTTTTTAATGTGTTTGTCTTTTTCATTCTAAGAAAAAATACACTTTAAAACGTGACGTTCCCTTGTGACGCGGCGACACCCCCTGTGCTCTATGTTTTAAACATCTATAAAATAAATTTAAATAAACATTATTAAATTAAAATTTCAATATCAATTAAATTTATATTTGTGCATATTTTGGTATATTGTATTTGATAATATGACGACAAATATAAAAGATATGGACACTGTGACATTACTTTTGGATCAACCCTCGTATATACCCATTTGCTATAAATATATTCAACGATTTCTTGATAGTAAAAACATAACAAAGGGGAGTAATCAAATGTTGAACCCGCTTTTGATTGGTTAGTTTGGATCTTGAATTTCGAAACTCGAATTTCAAATCTCGAATTTCGAATCTCGTATTTCGAAACTTGAATCTCGAATGAGCCTTCTGGGCTTGCGTACTTTTTCACTCCGACTTCAAAGTATGTAGATTTTGGGGAACGGAACTGTTTTATAATTATGTTGTTACAGGAAGTCTTTCGAGATTTCAGTATCCCTGTCTGAAAAGTTCATATTTTGCTGTTGTTGGTAAACCCAAAATATGTGTCGGATCAAAAAGTAAAATAGGAGGTACACAATGATAATATGTAATAAACTAAAGATTCTGTCAAAGTTTCATTAAATTTGCGGATAAGAGATGGGTACCCCAAAGCGTAACAGATACACAGACGGACGTACAGACATAACGATTATTATATACCCTCCCGCTTTTCAAGCGAGATGTATAATGAAAGTGATATATACATCACAGGAATGGGAACATTGGGCACTTTCTCAAATACCTTCTCAAACGTGTCGTACCTGAACCTGGACAACAGACAAGAGAATTTTTAAAAAGCTCATTTTAGGTAATATGGAATTCTCAGGAGAGTTTGCTCTCTCTTCCTATATGCTTTGGCTAATAATCATCAATTATTTATGTCAAGAAATTTAATTCACATTAAATTCTATTTTCATTATTATTGTACCAAAGAATAAAACTCGTTTATTATACCCCACGCAACAAGTTGAGAGAGGTATACTGTAATGTTTTTGACCCGTCCGTCAGTCAGACAGTCCTATTTTTTTTTTTATTTGTCTGCGCAACTCCTCATGAACCTCTGCACACAATTTTGTCAAACTTTGCAGATATTTAGGACACAATGTGTATAGATGTGCATATTACAAAGAAATTACGATTCCTTCATTTTTTTTTCTGGGAATTTCAGCACTTCGACTTTTGGGGGAGCGTAGGGTATGTGAATTTGTTCACTTTTTCTTTCATTGTGCATAAAATTATAAAAAACTTTAAATCAAATTATATTAATTCTAAATCAAAATTATATCAGCTCTAATAAAGCCAATACACAGTTTTTATTTGATAAATCGAAGAAAACATCTGAAACAAATCGGATTTCTTTATGATAAATTATTATCAAATAAAAACTGTTATATAGATTTTAGTCAAAGTGATTTCAGTCATCGAGAAACGGACGTGAAAATTTTCACATTTCCGAGATCGAAACGGAAATGGTCGATATGACGCATATGGAAGAGAAGGGATGGCTAATTAGTGTTTCTGAGTCCCTCTTTAAATCATACGCAATGTGAAAGATACATTTTTTGCACATTGTAAAAGAAACATTTATTGAAAATGGATATCAAATAGTAAAGATAGGTTTGCAAGCATAACATTCCCCCTGGTTCCATTACTTCAACTCAATACTCGTTAAACGTATTAAAGGAATGAAATTTACAACAGAATTTGAAATGTGCTACATGTAAAAATGGCAGTAATCAACAATCAGTTGAATTTTATTTAATTTCTTTCTATCATAGTTCTATCTTCAAAATTATTTTTATTTATAAAAAAGTGGCAGTCAAGAGGCGAGGAGTATAAGCACAAATTTGTTTGATTGCAATATGCACAATATATAATCTTTTTTCTAAAGGGATACGGTGCAAAACTAAACAGTCATTTATGGTATTGGAATCACCTTTTACACTTTGATTGCAAACGATGTTATGTACAAATTTATTGTTTGGTATAAACGGAAAACAAATAATCTGGGGGGGGGGGTATTAGGCGAGTCATATGCCTACGCAAGGGCAGGTAAAATTTCAGTTAAAAAATTCTCACAAATTCTACTTTTTGTTAAAAATGGGACTTATTTATAACCATATGCATACCTGAAGTAAAGATAAAACCTGAAACAAAAGACTTAGAGATTGATTGTAATTAACCCAGAAAATTCGAATAACGCTTTAGTAACCGTATAAAGATAGAAATGAAATGTTAAAAATGTGTTTATTATATAGAGTGGGTCTTCGTACCATTTTCTGTAAACAAATATTGAAAG